AGATCATCAAAATGATGGCCGAGATATCTGCACTCACTAATGTCTATTGGTACATGGGTATGCGATACATGATAATACTCTTGTTGTCACTGACCTTCTTGCGCAGGTGTGCCGTTCAATGACACTCAGCATTGGCGCTTGCAGATCGCTGAAGTCGGAGAGGCGATGCTCGGAAATTATCTGATTGGTCTACAGGTCAGGGAATCTAACGTATAATACGACAGTCTCTGATTGCTTTTGCTTTAGGGCGGCAATGAACCTGATCTTTACTCAAGGCACGGTCATCGGCCGGATGTAAGGTATTTTTTTGGCCTGACTCCGTATTGATTGTTAACCTTTTTGCAGTCTCATAGCCCTCAGGATTACAAGGATGAATTCGGTCTTCTCATCGACGCAATGAACGCAGACTCTAATATCCCCAACAAAGATCTGCTCATTGGCCCCAATCTGGCTGGCATGTGGAGCCCAACGGATATCTGGGAAACCGGGTTCGCCACAGACTTCAACCAAAACCTTGCTGCGCTGGGTGTTGAAAGGTGAATCACAAATTATTCATCATCATCGTCTTCTGGCTCATAATCGTGAAGGTATCCCACCGATAATTGTGATGCCCAGTTCGGCATAGGAACTCCACGCACTGGCCCAGAGATGTTGCCGACCTTCCTGACACACCAAGCCGGAAAGACCATTGTTCCCTGGTGCTCCCGCTTATGCGCAATCCGTTGGAAAGCCCTTCATCGTGTCAGAAACCAATACAGCATCTTGCGGAGGTTTTCCCAGGTTAAGCGACAGCTTCAGGGCCGCCCTGTGGGGAATCGACTATGCTCTCCAACTAGCATACAGCAATTTCTCAACTGTTCTTTTCCATGTTGGTGGACAGAGCGTGTATTACAATGTACGTTCAACTCGGGTCCTGCCGTCATTCAACCTCTAACCATTGTCCTCTACAGCCCTTTACACGTTCGTATTAATCGTCCTATCTGGATGGTGATTTTTTTAACTGTATTCCTTCGCCTGTGAGAAACCAGTCGACGTACCAACAGTGAACTATTGGTATGAGCTACCTTGCATCATTTTTCTATTGGATGTCAATCAAACTCCCATCGCAGGTCCGGTCTCCTATAAACCATATCGTCAGGAAGCCGAAACTTATTTTTACTCGTTTGCCCTTGCGCTTCCTCGTTTGCCCTCGCGTTCGTTCGTTTGTTCTCGCGTTGACTCGTTTGCTCGTGCGTTCTCTCGTTTGCCCTCGCGTTGACTCGTTTGTTCTTGCGTTCTCTCGTTTGTCCTTGCGTTGACTCGTTTGTCCTCGCGTTGACTCGTTTGTCCTTGCGTTTGTTCATTCGTCCTTGCGTTGACTCGTTTGTCCTTGCGTTTGTTCGTTCGTCCTTGCGTTGACTCGTTGGCCCTTGCGTTGACCTGTTTGTCCTCGCGTTCGTTCGTTTGTTCTCGCGTTGACTCGTTTGTCCTTGCGTTGACCCGTTTGTCCTCGCGTTTGTTCGTTTGTTCTTGCATTGGTTCGTTCGTCCTTGCGTTGACTCGTTTGTTCTTGCGTTGGTTCGCTTGTTTGTCCGCGTTTTTGCGCCCCACCTCCTCGGCTGCGCCGAGGAGGCGGGGCGCCTCCTGGTTATTATTTTCCGCGTTTGTCCTTGCGTTTGTTCGTTTGTCCTCGCGTTGACTCGTTTGCTCCTGCGTTCCCTCGTTTGTCCGCGTTTTTTTCTCGCGTTCGTTCGTTTACCCGCAATTTTTTTTTTCGCGTTTGCCCTTGCGTTGACTCCTCTGTCCGCGTTTTTTTCTCGCGTTCACTCGTTTGCTCGTGCGTTCCCTCGTTTGCCCGCGTTTTTTTCTCGCGTTCGTTCGTTTGTCCTCGCATTTGTTCGTTTGTGCTTGCGTTCCCTGGTTTGTCCGCGTTTTTTTTCGCGTTCGTTCGTTTATCCTTGCGTTCCCTCCTTTGTCTGCGTTTTTTTCTCGCGTTTGTTCGTTTGTTCTTGCGTTGACTCGTTTGTCCGCGTTTTTTTCGCGTTTATCCTCGCGTTCGTTCGTTTGTCCTCGCAGTTGTTCGTTTGTCCTTGCGCTCACTCGTTTGTCCTTGCGTTCCCTCGTTTGTCCGTATTTTTTTTCGCGTTTATCATCGTGTTCGTTCGTTTGTCCTTGCGTTGACTCGTTTGTCCGCGTTTATTTTTCGCGTTTGTTCGTTTGTCCTTGCGGTCCTTCGTTTGTCCCCATTTTTTTTTCGCATTTGGCTATCAAACACTATGTTGGTAACGTCCTCTGAGTTATCTTGTCCGCGTTTATCCTCGCGTTCGTTCGTTCGTCCTCGCGTCGACTCGTTTGTCCCCGCGTTCACTCGTTTGACGGTGCGTTCCCTCGTTTGTCCTTGCGTTGACTCGTTTGAAAACCAGGGACCCTATCTACCTCCCACCTCAAGAGGCTGCCTGGCCCTACTGCCCCAACTATTCCAATAATGTGGATCGTGATCAGCAACCCGTTCCCTCGTTTGTTCCCGCGTTCCCTCGTTTGTCCGCATTTTTTTTCGCGTTTGCCCGTGCGTTCCCTCGTTTGTCCTTGCGTTGACTCGTTTGTCCGCGTTTTTTTTCGCGTTCGTTCGTTTGTCCTTGCGTTCCCTCGTTTATCCTTACGTTCACTCGTTTGTCCGCGTCTTTTTGTCGCGTTTGTCCTTACGTTCACTCGTTTGTCCGCGTTTTTTTTCGCGTTTGTTGGTTTTCCTGCGTTGTTCCTTCGCGTTTCGTTCTTTTTTTCCGCGTTCGTCCGTTGCCAGCAGCGGTGGGCTTGGCTCTGATCCTGACAGTGTTGATTCTGCCGATTGACCTGTCTTTGGAAGATGGATACATCTCCAGTATAATGGTGCACGCACCTGAAGTCTGAAGGCGCCGCACTTTCTCTCCCATCCCCGCACACCTTCATGTAAGTGCAAGAAGCCTGCCTTTTTCTCCTGTCCACCTCCGCCCATCCATGGGTCTCGAATGAGTGGGAGACTTCATGTACTACATCAGGCTCGTCAAATGTTGACATGAAAGCTGAATTATGAACCGCTGTCTGCTTGCGGTGCCGTCCGTTCAGGCTTTTCATGGTGACTTTCTTTAATAATTGAACAATGCACTTTTAACATTTGTGATCTGAATGAATACCACATAGTGGTGCAAATATGTAGAGAAGTAGCTACCCTGCACATGTAGAGGTCAAAAGTTGAGTTTTTTTACTAGTAGTTGTACAAATGCCCACTGTTTGTTGGATCTTGCATGTCATGGCCCATGGGACACAGAAAATTGATGAATCCTTTAAGTTGGCCTTTCTTATGCACAACTAGCTGCTTTTGCTCCTTGACATCTTGTACCTTCATTTTGTCTGTCGAAACATTGAAAAAAATAATAATTCATGTTTCAATGATTTTCTGTGTGGGACCTGTCAAAACATTGAAAAAAATAATAATTCATGTTTCAATGATTTTCTGTGTGGGACCTGTCAAAATATTGAAAAAACATAATTCATGTTTCAATGATTTTCTGTGTGGGACTTGTCAAAACATTGAAAAAAAAAATTTCATGTTTCAATGATTTTCTGTGTGCGGGACATGATGCAAAAATTGATCATGTTCCTTCAAGGATAATTTTCCATGTATTGTGTGCAGAAAAAAATATATAATTTGTGCATGTTCTGAGGCAGAGTATCCTGCAATCATGTTTCTTTTTTTTTCTCTGAACATAATAAATGTTTTTCAAGTGTTGTGCAGCAGGAATATACTGCAAACATCATTTATTTATTCTTACAAAACATGAGGCATGTTTCATAAATTTCCTCTTACCAAATATACAAATGAATGTTTGAAAGTTTCTTTGCTTTTCCTGAACAAAACATTGTCAAAATATATTTTATTATTTGTTATATGATTTTTCAATGTTCTTGGATCAAACATATGGTGAACAGGATGAAGTAATTGAGATTTTTGATGCACAGAACATTGGAAAAACAGAGGCAAAAAATTTAACATGATTGTAAATTGTTATTTGAAGAATGATGAGTGAAAAATATTGACTGTTTCCCGAGGGAAAATGACACATTTTTATATTATGTCTTGCATACAGAAAATCTTTAATACATTCATTATTTTTTTTCAATGTTTTGATACACAAAATGCAAGGAAATTTCTATCTTCTAATTCAATGTTTTTTGGATGTTTGGTGGAGGAACATGAGGAAATGCCTGCAGTGATTGTTTGTTTCCTTTTTATTTATTTTTTCACAACCTTTTGTCATTCATTTCCTTGTCCCCCTGTCTGCAAATTATATCATATGTTGTTCCATTTTCAATTTTATTACTGTATGTATGTACCATAAACAATTACAATAGGGAAAATATGTAGTGCGCTGCTTAGCGGCGATTGAGTCGGCGCTCGAAAACACGTGACAAAGCCACGCGAGTTTCCAAAAAGAGGTTTAAGCGAGGTAAGCGAAAACCATGTGGCCTTAAGCGCATCTAAGCGTATCTAGGCGAAAACCACATGGCCCTACGCGAAAACCACGCGAGCGCCCGTGCGTTTCCGAAACCTTTCTCCCTTTCTTCTTAAGATATAGGATCCTTACAAGAGCGACGGCAAAAGCTGATGCGTATCGGGACCACATCCGTCTGTTCGACAACCTACGCGAATGATCATCGCACTAGCGAGGTACGTCGTTCCTGAGACTGCCACTAAACCATCAATCATAAACCTAGTATTCATTTATGTTAAGTATGTAGAAACAAGTTGCATCTGTAAACATACCTTTATCACTTCCGAGTCATTGAAGTACTACATACAAAAAATGTCTCTCTGACGGAGAATCGAACTCCGCTCTCCCGCGGGCTGCTTCCTGACAGGCGGGTGTACTGACCGATATACTATCAGAGACGAAAACTTGCAAACGCTAGTGTACATAAATAGCTCAACGTATTTGTGCCTGTTTACCAGTACCTTCAACTTCTAGCAAGGACAAACAACTCGTCACTGCCAGTCGTTCAGAACATGGATGACCCTCTAGATGCCGCATTTGTGACAGGGCTTTGCTATCTTCTGGCCCCAGTAGGCTGGCAGCCAGTTATAACAACCGTGCTCATACTTCTGTTCACCAGCCGTACCACTGTGCAGCCTTTCCTGGCAGCTTCAAGTGTTCTTCCCAGACATGTAGCGCTAGCACTTGAGAAAGCCATCGAGACTTCAATTGTGGAGTACATCGCATGGCTGCTCAGCTGTTCAGTTGTCATGTACTCAATTGACTCATATTGGGAGAAACTCCTCATGATCGTCCCCATCCTCATCTTTTCTGTGTGCCTCATCTCGCAATGGGCGAGTTGCTGCTGGCATCAGTCACACAGCAAGACGAACGTGCCGGTGCGAGATGTATTCGTCACAGTCGGTGACCGTCATCCAGATTTGCTGTCTTTGGACCACCCGTTATCTGAACTGGTCGTGAATACCAAAGCTGAGCTTGCAAAGGCTCATTCCCTCCTTTCCGATTTTGCTACTGCCTCTGTGAATATACGCGGGCCTCTTGATACCGCCTGGGCTGTCCAGAAATTCTCCCGCCTCATTGGCAATCGACGGTCACAAATCGTTCGGTTCATGTCTCCTTGGCGATTCAATCCGAATAGCCCAGTCTTTCCCCCTCCCCTCGGTCCGCGCTATTCAATGCTTCGTAGTGAAGCGGACATCCCGGAAATCCCATGGCTATCGCCCGTTCCTAGTGCAATATGGATTGATAGACGATTGGCGAACATGTGGGAAGATGAAAGACGAACTGAACCCCCGGGATATAATGAGTATGCCCTCTTCTTTATCTCGGCTGTTCGATGTACTTAATGACGATTCTAAGCCAATGTGATCTCTTTCTCAAGGCCACTATTTGTCATGAGATGTTGAATTCAATCCTTTTGGACGTCGAGAAGATCGGACACCTTCCAGATGATGATTAAGCTTGTACTAATATTACGGAGGAATGTGCGTTGATCATCTCATCTATATGATCGGCGATAGCGATCAGTTGTAGATATTTGGAGGCCGGTAAGATACTGAACTCTGTGTACTTCTATATCTTTCCCTTGCTTTTCGGACATCATCTTCCGATGGTGGTTGTTCTACTGGGAGCTCTGCTACGATATCTTTCAGCACTAAGATCATGTCATCGTGCGTGACAGGATTTTCCGGGAAAGTGGCAGACTTGCTACCATTGGGTTTAATTTTCAGGGAGCCCGGAGGCGACAGCTTTGAGGCGAGATTTGCAAGACCTTTCACAATAGGCGGATGGTTGAAGTAATCTGAAAAGCACGCACTGCAGGTGGAAGTCCAGTCCTCCACCTGGAATCTCTCCTGAGATATGTCTAGCCGATGGGAAGGCAGGCAATCTGGCTGCAGCCAGTTTGGTACGCAGCTAGGTAGTACCGTGCGTTTTTGGCTACAAGGCCCGATAAAATTGATGCAAATGGAAAGCATGACCCAGAGGAACGATTCCAGATCGTGTCTTCGTCGTGGCGAACAACTCTTGTGCCACAATATTTCTGTTGCTAAGTATTCCTACAAAACCTCTAGTGGCTGAAATAACATAGGTCCTCAGAGGGTCTCACCGAGAATCTATAGAAACTTGTCTTCTTGTGGTCAGGGTCCATATGTTTCGCGAATCTCCAGCCGCAGAGCATCGCTTGGCGTATGGGAGGCGTTCCGTCCGAATTCCAAAACGGTATGACGCTCTCATCACTTGGATCATTCACGTGTAGACATATGGAACGCGGATTGATGTCATTATGAAGCAGCCTGTGCGAGAAATAGGCGGTACGGTGGGCTATCGTGCACATTCAACGTCGCGTCGCAACGCGTCGTAACGTCACTCACTGTCTATGCATGATATTATCGCCAAGAAAAACTCCTCGCGGGATGAAAAGTAGGTGATGCTGACGAGATGCTCTACGGTTTGGATGACGCTCTCCACTATCTGATGCTGTGGACCGAAAAGTCTCTTGTCGTGGGTGATCATGCAGTCGAGCGCCATAGATCGATATGCCCCTATTTTTGGTACGCCTTTGAGGTTTTTCAGTTCATCCAGAAACTGTGCGTGGTCCCGAGGGGCGGCACCGCAATCTACGATAAATTTCCATCCAAAGGGGCAATTACAAGGAAACAAGGATCCGTCGAAGGAGCCGAAGACGGGTGGTCTTGTTAGTCTGACGCGTGTGTGATGATCTGCACTCTGTCGTGAATGGGTAGCTTTTTGGTGATAAGTGGTTTTGATGTATCTGGAGGATACAGTGTCGTGTTTAATCGAAGCAGACTCATCTGTGTGATAACAGCCTAGATCATAGCTATCACACGTAGCCAAAGTGGTGATGCAGCCAAGGACTGCACATGGATAGCGATGGGTGTGAAATGGGGTTGCGGTAATGCCGCGTTGATCATGTTTGATGAGGTGCATAGTGTTTGATTTCTGGATCGATAGACCGAACAGAAAAGGGCGATTATATGTGGAGAGAGACTTGGAAGTGCTGGGAGTGAACGGAATAGGAGATCCACTTTGATCATGTGGGCCATGATCAGATATAAGCTCTGCGAATGCGTACACCTCATCCATGGTCGATACGCCCTGAGAGTCATGATTCACGAGAAGAAATACCTGTTGCTCGGCAATTTTCAATGGTGATTCAGTCGGATGCATGACCCAAATTCGTCGCTTTGGAAGCTTTGTGTCGGAGGCTGAAAGAGCAGTATATGATCGTTCTGTCAGGCAGTTCAGGAATAGTAGAATATCTGAATAGTGGCTGCGATCCGTCCATTGAGCCTGATCTCTGTCGTAAAGGCCGTCTTCACATAACCCTTGGAACATTACAACAATGTTGGACTGATTGATCGCACTGGATCTGTTTAGAAACTTGGTGCAGACGCCGTGTGTGAGGACGTCTGTTTCATTGGAAGGGGTCCCGAACTCTTCAAAGTAAATAGGGGGCCTGTTCGCTGAGGACTAGTTTTGTGTTGAGTTCCTGACAAGGCGATAAAATGACATTTCCTGATCTCACGTATGATTGACATTTCGTGTCCATGGTCAAAGGCAGAATAGGGGATGACAGCTTGTCAAACTGTCACGATCGATGAACGATGTCGATGATTGGTGGCGCACTTACAGGCACTCAGAGCCCTCCCGACCGTTTGCAAATTTGAAACTTAATACAGGGGTGGCAGCCGCATACATCAAATTAGATACCAAATAGAGACAATATCGGCCGGTGATGGTGTCCGTATTCTCACGTTTGAAAGTCAACCTTCTGTATGAATACTACTACTCTAGTTATACCGCTTCACGCCTCCGAGGCGTAGCACGTAGAATGTCATCCACCCTGTTGATATCCAAGATCAAAGGAGAACTCGTTATTTGCAAGGCCCGCTGCTTACCGTATTATCATCTCCGCTGCTTCACTTGCACTGAGGACAACCTGCCGCTTCAGTTTATAGCTTTCCGTAACACCGAGTTGTCTCATCGAGCCAATCGTGCCCTGATTCATATCTGAACATCTTATAAGTTCGGAATCAGTCCGACAAAGAATACAATCATACCAAGTCCGGCATCTGACTGCCCCTCATAATGCGCTGCTCTTAGCCTTGCAACGAGGTCGCTAGAGTCGTATCCAGCGTTGTCTGCAAGGATAGTAGGTATTTGTCTCAGCGCACGGCTAAACGCTTCGGCAGCTATCGCCTTCTTCCCCTTAACCTTCCGCGCAGCCTCCTCTGCAGCACAGCTCATCAACATTTCAGAACATCCACCACCCAAGACAATCCGTGTCTCTTTGACCGTCTGCGATAAGACAGAAAGCGCATCATGCAATGAACGCTCGGCCTCGTCGACCATCTGACTGGTTGAACCACGTAGCACAACAGTGCAGGCTTCGCCCGCCGCCACACCAGAGAATTTTATGAGCTGTGACTTCTGATCAGCACAGGATCAGTGAGTGAACGATCGCGCCGACCTTGTCCTCGCCAATGATAATTTCCTCGATCAAGTCGCATTTGCCAAGTTGGACTAGATCTGGTCTGTCGAACGTGCTCGCAATTTCACCACCGGTAACGAGTGACAGTCTCTCAACACCCTCAAAGTCGGCGTGTTCAATCACCACAATACCTTTCTCTGCCAACAGAGACTCGGGGTAATTGTAGATGAGCTGTCGGTTAACAAAGCAATTAATGCCATGTGCGGCGATCGCGTCTACTTTGGCTTTCATTTTTTCCTGCAATGCGTTATTAGAAAAAAAAAATTGCAACGCAAACAGGCAAGTACCCGTTCAGCCCGCTCGAGCTCAGCAAGTTTTCCTGTCGAGTCCACTTTTACTCTGGCTCCAAAGATCTTGATCTTATCAGTGTCCATTGCTTTTGATAAACCGTGCCTCAGTCCCAAATCAATACGAGATGGTCGCGCACATACAAGTGTTTGCGATTAAAATTTTCGCATTCTCCATCCGTTTGGGCGAGTTCACAGCAATGCTTTTGTCGAGAATGAAACCTTTGGGGATTACGCTCGTGAGATAAGCAAGATTTGTTGTATCTGTCAGCCTACCTTCGTCAAGGTATGAGTCTGTGAGTTTGCCTCCGACCTTCTTGATGATCTGGATGTGCTCCAAATCCGTTGAACCCTCAAAGATAGTCAATACGAGCGTCAAACACAGCAATTAAAACGTACCTTCAATCGAAGCACAGCATCCACTGCCAGGTTGGCAAAGTAATCTTTGTCTTGTGACAAGACCTTTGATGACAGGGTCGTACGAGCAATATTAAAAAGATCCTGACGAAACCGAGCAGCATCAGAACTATTCAAACGCACAGTCCATAAGAAACTTCAAAGCGACGCGAAAAAACGCGAAAACTCACGCGTGATCAACAGCTGCTTTCTCAAGTGCAGCAAGCGCAGCGACGCTCGCAAGCCGATATCCCTCTACGATCGTCTGAGGATGTATCTTTACAGAAATCAACCTCTCCGCTTCCCTCAGCAGCTCCGCCGCCAACACGCACACGCTCGTAGTCCCGTCTCCCACTTCGTCGTCTTGGACTTTTGAGATGTTAACGAGGATCTTGGCTGCTGCGTTATCGAGCTGGATGGACTTGAGAATCGTCGCACCGTCGTTGGTCACGTTGATGTCTCCCGAGGATCCCGACTGCAGAATCTTGTTCATGCCCTTTGGCCCGAGCGTTGATTTTACGAGATCGCCGAGGGCGAGGGCGCCGACGAAGGAGGATAGACGAGCATTTTCGGCTTTTTCCTCGGTTGCCTGGATGAAACCTAGTGACGTCGAGCACAATAAGTCATCAATCTGCCATACTTACCTCGTGACCGAATATGTGCATGGACATGACTGTAGTTTTGGAGTTTGCGGGACAAGTTTAAAGTCAATCGGATTCCATCACGTTCGATTATGTAATACACAACCGCCTATGTAGCACTAGCCACAAAAGCTAGCTCACGCGCTCATGGATCTGTGTGATGGAGCTGACGGGACGCTACTTCATTGCGTGACAAACATCTTATTTTCTGGTACACAGTTATCATTCTCATAATGGTCCCGACTCCCTATAATTACCCGGCCGATGCATTGCATTTGGAATTGCAGTTGTCTTTTGCTCTTCTCCTCTTGGAAATAACGTTCAACTTCTTTGAGTCAGCGACGCCATACTCCTGGAAGTGCGGTGTATGGCTGACCGTGTGCGAACGAATCTATGCGCAGGTCAAGCACGACTTTCTCAAGCATTGGTCCTTGACATCCGTTGAATGTCGTCGCATAAGCAGGTTGCAGGGGAAACCGGGTTCGATTTACGGTCCAGCTTGAACGCGCTGGATTGAAAGAGAAGGTGATGCGAGGCAGACAATGCATCTCTCCGGTATGAAGAATTTGGACCTCCATGAATTTGCGTAGTTAGGAGACAAATAAACGGAGCTTCAGAAGACATGGAAACAGTGGAGCACAATTGCAAAAGGAGTAGAGAAGCGAAGAACGCACACAAATAGAACTGCCGAGTGCACTAGCGCTTGGAGTGCATGTGGAGCTCGGATGGGCACGCACATGGAGTAAACGCAATTTTTTTCCGCGAGATCAAACGTTCCGTCCTTGTATAAGTATGTTAGATAATGATAATGCATAACTAGGAATCTTTAACTAAGCGCATACCAAGAATGAGAATGAGAATCAGTTTTCGAAAGATACCTCATGATCTCTGCACGAGGTACGGCGAGTTGGCAAGTGCATATAGCGAGTATCGACGAGGTTCACGAGAATGAGCGTTGTTCCGCGGGGTCACTGCAGGTTCAAATGATGAAGCGATGAGTGAGGGATTGGGTCCATGATACCATCAATCAAACACACTCCTGCATTGCGTGCGCGTGTAGGTTCTGCCGCCGACAGCGCTACATAGCAATACCAATTCTGCCAAATCGATCAGAATCGTACCCATAAGTATAGAGTCACGCAGAATATAAAAGCTGGCCGTTGTCCTATAGTGTTCCCCCATCCTCAGATATATCATTCGAGACCACCCTCAGAAGATTACATATCACCTCACACAGAAAATGCGCTTCTCCTTCCTTGCCGTTGTTGTTGCTTTGACAGCATCTATGTTCGTTAGCGCATGTTCGAACGCGGGCCAACCTTGCGACACAGATGTTGATTGTTGCAAGAACTTGGGTTGTGACACTAAATATGGCGTGAGTATGAGCAGGTCACTGTGCAACCAGGATTCAACCACATGACTCACCTGCGCGCTTTAGGATCCCCAGCTGACCTGCCAGTCCTCGAAGCGGGTTAAAAGAGTCAGCAGCTAGTAAAACTACTCGGGCCTCGCGGTCAGTTGTGCAAGTTATAACCGGCACAACTGTAGCTAAAGGTCATATCTAGACTCTTTGGCCTCGTCCCATCCGTTTGCATCATCCTCGCCATTGCAATTCACCATCTCGTTGAGCCTCATCTAAAATAGCCTGTGATATTATTCCTCGTTGAACAAAATCAAAAGCATTTTCCTCCAGCACTTCAACTTTGTTAATGTTTTGGACTTCTTCAATCTTCAACTCTTCGAGAACCGCAGATTCAGCAGTAATGTCGTCAGGTGAGATACTCTCTGCACCAGCGAGAAGGTCGTCATCTGCATCATGAGGCTTAGCTGTCATATCCCGCATTCCGGACCAACATCTGACGACGTTCCCACGCCTCATCCGGACCTCCGGACCTCCTGTCCATGTCTCCAGACCCAATCCTCTATCCGTCCGGATCCCTGTACTCCTGCATCTGATATCCGGATGCCAGATCTGATATCCACATCTCCGGATCTCCGGATCCGACCTATCTGTCATGTCCGAACCCAAACCTTAAATCAGCGCCCATCCCCTTATGGTAATCACCTGTCTCCGGACTTCCGAACATCCGGATCCGACCCACGTCTATCTTCCTTGCGTTCCGGACCCAGACCTATCACGCATTCATCTCCGGACATCCGGATCCGACCCGCGTCTATCTTCCGTGCCTTATCCCTTTGTATGTTCCTTCTTGAGTTAGACTTCCTCATTTTCCGTACCTCATTTCATCTCCGAGTTCATTTCCTATGATCCGTCTTATTTTCTAATACATTTCCACATGCTCGTACATAGCCTTACCCCTCTGCTTACTGATCTGCACAGACTTGCCTCTAGTATATAAACCCCAGTAGATACTCCTGTATTTCCTCAGTCTGAATATCATACACATATTAGTCCTCGCACTAGTCTTCACACTAAGTCCTCGTAACAGTTCTATTCCTCCGACTTAGTAATCATCCATCTCAGGCCTAGGGAGGAATTCCCTAGGCCGGAGCTCCGCTCCTCCGCTCCTCCGCTCCTCCGCTCCTCCGCTCCTCCGCTCCTCCGCTCCTCCGCTCCTCCGATCCTCCACTCATCCACTCATCCGATCCTCCATTCCTCCGAGTTTCCGGAAGTTCCTCCGAGTTTCCGGAAGTTCCTCCGGAACTTTCCCGCGGTCCTCCGGACCTATTCTGCTTCGGACTTTGTCCTTGCAGCCTTTCCTCTGTTTCCTTCTACTCAGGACGAGTCCTGAGTAGCCATTATACATATCCCCGTCAGGACGAAACTCCATCGTAATTTCCGGAAGTTCCTCCGGAACTTTCCCGCACTCATCCGGAAGTTTCTCGCACTCGTCCGGAAAGTCCTTCCGAAGTTTCCCACGCTCCTCCGGAAGTCCTTCGGACTTCACTGGACTTTCTCCGGACTTCATTCTGAAGTTAAGGGCACATACTCGGGTAAGGGGCGCAGCGCACGAGCTGAAGCCAAGCCCCTTGGAATCAGTCCTACCCTTTGTGCACGGTCTTAACAGTATATTCAGACTCACACCTTACCGAGTATACTGAATCCTTAGATCATACCTGAAATCGGATCCGACACCGTCCCTTGGAAACTGTGTATTCCTCCTCCGAACCCTCCATTTTCCTGTATCCCATTTCCGATGAAAACTCCGGATTTTCCGGAGCTCATTCTCCATTCCCTGCATCTGTAAACACCCGCCGGAATGCTCAATTTCCACCCTTCATGCTCTGCTGTCATTTCCACTTCAGTACCACGAAACTCCGGTCCTGAAACCAAACAGGATTGCCACCTCTGTGGCAGAACAAATAGATCTCAGGACTTTGTGTCCTGTAATTCCCTGATCCGATCATATCTTTCCGACACCCCACAGTTCCCTGTAACTCCGACGTTTTCCGTTTCCGAACTATTTCCTGAACTGGCAAAGTCAACTCCGGAATGTCTCAAACATTCAACTCATTTGGATTCTCCTCGTACCACCTAGAATATACTTGCTCACCCACCATGATCCGTTGATCAATAGGGTATTTTGCAGACCTCCTTTCCGATTGGTACTACAGGAAATGCCTTAGACCTCCGACGTCAAATCCGCTTTTTTGCGGAACCCCTATCTTCGGACTAGCCATGTTCCTTCCACTGGTTTATTTCCAGTCCGCCTCCATGTTGGATGGCACCTCCTCCGGTCAAAGTCCGGACCCCTATCCACCATTCATATCCGCCACCCATTTAGCATTCACCTTGTATTGGTATCCATTACCCTCCTTGTAGGGGAACTCCGTCTTTCATGATGGTTTTCCTGCCAAGTGTTCGGGTTTTGATTCCTCTGACAATGGCCCGCTCGGGTTCCTGCCTCCATTTCCGGATGGCACTCTTTCCTCCGCTCTAGCCCCTATTTTCCCTTCCATCGTCCGGAAGTTCTTTGTTGATTCTCCTCCGACATTGGGAATGTCTCCCGAAAGGGAGGATAGGAATTTTGCTTCCGTTACATCCTATGCAAATTCCTGACCATTTCCTGGCCTCATTATCCACCTCCGGACCTTCAAACCAAAACTCCGGAGCTCCTCCGATTCATTCTCCGGAAGAAGGTCCTGGAAAACCCTCTGTTCCTCTCCAGAAGCCTGTCAGTTCTTACATCCGACATCCCGTCCGAATCAACAACTTTCCGAACCCCTCCGCGTTTTACCCCTATTTTCCGGAAGTTTGTAACTCCGGATCTCTATTGGCTTTCTTGATGAAGGTCTCTGCCCCTCCGATCTATAACTCCGGTTTGCTCCTTGTCATCTCTGAACTTTTCCGGATCAGAATAAACATGCTTTGCGATTGTTCTTTACTGTTACTGATACCACGTCCACTCCAGTTCCTGCCCATTTTCCTCCGGGTCCAGGAAATTGTTGAAGATAGCTCCAGATAGCTTCGGATAAGCTCCGGATAGCTTCGGATATCTTCGGACATCCGGACTTTTCAGTATCAAAGTATTCCTTCGTGTTATGGCTCCGGATAGCTTTGGATAGCTTCGGATAAGCTCCGGATATCTTTGGATATCTTCGGACGTCCGGACTTTTCAGTACCAAAGCATTCCTTCGCGTTATAGCTCATCCGTCCATTCCATTGTCAAATCTCCATGTTTCCAAAAGATCTGTTCACTCCTCTGCTCCAGGACAAGTTACACCTGCTCCGGATCCGAAACACTCCTATGGGTATTCCATGCCATAGCCCGGACATGTTTTATACAATTGTCCATCCTCCGTCCTCACTTTTCCACTCTGCAATCCTTCCATCCGTCCTCCCGTCCTTTTTTCTCCGGATACCAATGTCCGACCTTTACCCCTATTTCCGGAGCTCAATACTCCGGATTTCCGGTGGCTTTCTTCATGGAAGCTCCTACTCCTACCTCCAATGCACCCCTTGTCTCTGGACCGCCTCCATTTGGAATGGATATACTTTGCAATAGCTTGGAGTTGCTTCGGACCCGCTTCCGCTCCTGTCTTAAAATCCCTCACCATTCAATAGTGTCTTCTCTGGAATCTGTTTCGGATCCGGAAAAGCACTGGTGATACCTCCGAAGTTTTTAGCACTACAGTCCTGCGTTGCATTGTATCTTCCGTTCCATTCTGTTCACTCTTGTGACTCACGTCCAGTTTCCTCCGAAAATCCGAAGCTCCTGCCGGAACCCTGTGCCCATTTTTCCTCCATTGATGTTTGGAAACATCTTCCAAAAGGGGGGATAGGGACTCCGCTTGAGTATTCACTTCACCCTCTTCAGCTTGTATTCCATCCGGAATTTACTTGCTCCGTCCCATAAAAGAACAATTTCCACTGTCTTGCACAGTCATTCATGCATGTGCAGCTTTCCTATCCGACCCATAACCTATCCGGACCATTCAGTTGTATTTCCGGCCGGATCAGCTCCGGAAAACCGCGGGAAAAGCGCACATTACATTGCATATCATTCGAAAACATCCGGAACTATTCATCCATGATCTTTCTAGGCCATTGATAGTCATCCGATGCATTTGACTTCACTGCCTAGTGTTCCATCGTGTTTGACTGCGCTTCCACCTCACTTCCTCTATGTTCCGATCCACCTCCTATGGGTTTCCACGCCATAGCCCCTATCATCCGGAACTCCGGAATTCCGAACCACTTGCAAACACCTCTGTCATATCACATACATCTCCTCCGATGATCTGTTCTCTTCCTCCGCTTTTCCGACTCAATATCCGTTCTGACTCCCATCGGATATTTCACCATAGACCCTGGCATTGCCAAACACTTACGTCCGGACCTCCTATCATGTTTTCCGACCACATCCGACCCTAATCTGACAAACCCACTTCCAAGTCCACTGCGTCACCTCCACCGATAAAACCGACTATATATCCCTAGTTAACGCAGTCGCCTGTTGCAGGACTTGCGAGCTAGAAGGAGCCGGCCCATTTCAGTATCCACCTCCACCTGACCAGTGTTGACCTCCGGACCATTGATTTCCGGTCTGTTGCATCCCTTCCGAAACCTCCTGGAAAGCATTTCCGGAGTTCCATCGGAAAATCGCGTCTTTGCAGATGTTGTCAATCCACGCAATCTCCGGCCCATCAAACAGCTTGCTCCGTCCTTTATGAGCCTATACACTAGCTATCCTTTTGCTCTAGCAGCTGTACCAATGGATATCGAATATTCCGGAAAGACATCCTCTCTGCACTCCCATCCTTCCTCTGCATTTCCGACCCTCCGCGTTTTTGACCCTTTGTGTTTCTGATCTCCGTGTTTCCGACCCATTCCTCTGCTATCATCATCCTTCCGTCCGACTCCTGTTGGTTCCCACGCCATAGCCCTACTCCGAACCATTCGGATCCATCCGCCCCATCATCAGGATTTCCATCCACCATGCGTGTTTATCAAAAAGCCTCACACCGTGTGCAAAATCCTGCTATTTGCATTAACTTTCAGTGCACCTGGAAACTCCGCCCATGACCTCTCGCAGTGTGCAACCAAAGCTCCGGAACATTTCCGGTCTTAGGGGCTAATTTCCGGAAGCTCACAGTCATATCCAGCAGATTCCTCTGACGCACTTCCGGCTCGAGTGATAGCACACATCGCAGATCGAAATCCATTCAACCTCAGACCTCCGTACAAAGGAAATCATGCCTCATAGCACTCCTTTCTCACTTCCTGCACTCCAGAAGTTCATCAGTCATCATGCGATTACATCTCCGATCATTTTCCGGTCATAGGGGCTAATTTCCGGATTTCCGATGATGCACTTATCCTTAGCTGTACCTCAGTACAAGCTCTGCTTCATGGAGAAAGATATGTCTCACAGGACTCCTCCGTCACATCAGAAAGAGGCCTGCATCGTATCCACTCTTGCCCTCTTGTCCTGCACTCGCTGCATTTCCACTGTCCTGATACAACCTCCTCCGCTCTGAAAGCTTCCTCCGATTTTCCCACGCATTTTCCGGACTTCCAGTCACCTTCGGAATTATCCTCAAAGTGTTCCAGACTTCCACTCCGGAAACCTATTTGTCCTCACATCACATCACCATTCTTCACCACCGTCTATGACGTCCAGTTTTCCAGATGAAGTACTAGGCATCATAATGAACCATGTGTGTGTCAGGAACATTTCCGAAACCTCCGGAGATTTTCAGCTCATAGGAACCAATCCTCCGGAATCCATCCATCATTGTCCTCTGCCATATACCAGCAATCTCCGTTCCGGACTTCCTGAGTCTTCAGCCTCGAGGGCTCGGCCTTAAAGGGGGGATACTGTCATATCCCGCATTCCGGACCAACATCTGACGACGTTCCCACGCCTCATCCGGACCTCCGGACCTCCTGTCCATGTCTCCAGACCCAATCCTCTATCCGTCCGGATCCCTGTACTCCTGCATCTGATATCCGGACGCCAGATCTGATATCCACATCTCCGGATCTCCGGATCCGACCTATCTGTCATGTCCGAACCCAAACCTTAAATCAGCGCCCATCCCCTTATGGTAATCACCTGTCTCCGGACTTCCGAACATCCGGACCCGACCCACGTCTATCTTCCTTGCGTTCCGGACCCAGACCTATCACGCATTCATCTCCGGACATCCGGATCCGACCCGCGTCTATCTTCCGTGCCTTATCCCTTTGTATGTTCCTTCTTGAGTTAGACTTCCTCATTTTCCGTACCTCATTTCATCTCCGAGTTCATTTCCTATGATCCGTCTTATTTTCTAATACATTTCCACATGCTCGTACATAGCCTTACCCCTCTGCTTACTGATCTGCACAGACTTGCCTCTAGTATATAAACCCCAGTAGATACTCCTGTATTTCCTCAGTCTGAATATCATACACATATTAGTCCTCGCACTAGTCTTCACACTGAGTCCTCGTAACAGTTCTATTCCTCCGACTTAGTAATCATCCATCTCAGGCCTAGGGAGGAATTCCCTAGGCCGGAGCTCCGCTCCTCCGCTCCTCCACTCATCCACTCATCCGATCCTCCATTCCTCCGAGTTTCCGGATGTTCCTCCGGAACTTTCCCGCGGTCCTCCGGACTTATTCTGCTTCGGACTTTGTCCTTGCAGCCTTTCCTCTGTTTCCTTCTACTCAGGACAAGTCCTGAGTAGCCATTACACATATCCCCGTCAGGACGAAACTCCATCGTAATTTCCGGAAGTTCCTCCGGAACTTTCCCGCACTCATCCGGAAGTTTCTCGCACTCGTCCGGAAAGTCCTTCCGAAGTTTCCCACGCTTCTCCGGAAGTCCTTCGGACTTCACTGGACTTTCTCCGGACTTCATTCTGAAGTTAAGGGCACATACTCGGGTAAGGGGCGCAGCGCATGAGCTGAAGCCAAGCCTTTTGGAATCAGTCCTACCCTTTGTGCATGGTCTTAACACTAGGACAAACAAGTATTTTGAGAATTAGATGTGCAGAATGATACAACTGACACAGACCTTTCATAACACCTTCGCTTGGATACCAACCGAGCCTCGCGGCGTTGTGCTTCGGTCTTGTACTTGGCTGGCATGAAGAAGTGTCACTGACAGTCTGTTGATGCAAATGAATGAATGTTGAAACACGATAAAAGTTAACGTTGAAGCTTCACGTGAGGTCACTCACTGTAACAGTTGGACCTAAATGGGACACTCGCTGCACCAGCACTTCGGGACAAATGAATGTGGGCAAGATCACATCTTTTTGAATAACTTTCTGCAGTTATCATAATCTTGATCAAACCTCCAGCGCTCGCGAAGACGAGCTGACATCTCCTCATCATCCTTGGGGATGATGGCATCCATGCACCGTGCAAAGGCTTGCCGTCGTCGCATGAACGTGGAATCATCACCATGAATCCCGTAACGTTGAACGAAAGCATCACGACGATCGATCGCGGTGTTGCCTAGAGTTGCCTAGACGAGTTATACGGTGGTGGACATAACGCACGCACTCTGCCTCCTGGTCTGCTATATTTGGTGATGGTGTTGACAGGCGCGAGGAGGAAAAAATTGATGATGCAAATATCATTTTATAATTTATATACAATGACATAGTAAAGGAGATAGGGCAGAACTGATATCATGGGGTCAAGAACGGACAGCAAGAAAGTACAGATTATCTACATTCAGGCTTGATGGCAGGTTGCAGGAACTGCGTCTGTAGTAACAACGGCAACCTTGTAAGTAATGATATTCAGCATTGTACAAGGAACACTTCACCGCTGCCTTGAGGGGGATCAAGCGGGACATTGGCTGAATTCGAAGGTGCCTCCGAGTCTATAATCTCAGCATGGCAAGCATAACAGTTACGTCGATGCGTCCGCAAGGCACATGCCGGGCAGGCTCCTGGCATCAATTGCGGTGAGGGAAACTCTGCAGTGATGCCGTCATGGGCACGTTCAAAAATTTCTGTTGAAAGATTTGACATCATATCAAACCTGCACTAAACAGCTCGAGATACTCACCATTCTGATCCCTAATAAGCTTTAGTGCCGCCACAAGCTCATTTATGGTGAATGTCAGCTCTTTGGGAGGCCCATGGGGGGGATACGCTGAGGTAGAGTCACTCATCACAAGTGGGGCGCTAGTGAGTGAGTGCACGCTAGTAAGTGAGTAATGAACACCTTAAATTCAACTCCGATCTAAAGAGTGATTGGTTCCTCGGGGGCTAAGCGCTGAGCGCTGAACTTTAACTGTTTGAAATTCTGAAATTTTTGGTGTCAACTTAATCCTTAAAGCCGAGTTTGTCATACCAAAGCTGTCCTGAGCAGTATGACACGCTAAACAGTACATAGATAGGAAATTGACCACCTAAATCTTGCAATGAATATAAATCATCGAGCTTCGATGGTCCGTGCACCACGCACATCACTAGGTCCCACTTCCTGGTCAAATAAGCTTCTTTCTTTTTTCATTTCGCTTGCCATCGACGCACAAAGTACGATATCTCGGACAAAAAGTGCGTGTTAACGAGACATCCTTATGTTTATTATGTCACTCACCATGAATAATAGATGGCACCGCCAAAGTGGGCTACCGTCGAGGAAGAGAAGTTCTTTCAGTCGCATGCTGCCAAATACCAAGTGTGTCAGGCAAAGCGCAACTATAGTGGATTTTGGGAGCCAGTGTTCGAGGAATGGTTTTCGAGATTCCCGGAATGGCTTCGTGTCTTTAAGGATGTCCCCCTTGATGTTGAATTGACCGTCGAGCAAAAGACCGAGGTAGGCAAGGCCGTTGAGCACCGTCGACAGGTACGTTACCGTGATTCATAAGTCGAAAGCAAGGGCTTATGAGAACGTTGACTCGTCAGCAAATTATGAATAAATTCAAAAATGATATGGGCTCATCTAAAGTCAACCGTCAGACCAAAAACCGCAACAATAAAATGATGACAGCAGATGTAGCCGCAGCAAGCACATCCCTGACACCGGCGGTAGCCAGTAAAAAGAGTATGGTCGCTCAGATGATCAGCAGTGCGAGGCATGTTCGTGGTCCGCAGGTGACGGAGGCGTTCTCGAAGCTTTTCTTCGATGACATGATTAAACCTACTCTTAATCTCGCCATTGAGAGAGCAAGGGCCGAAGCTGTGGCAAATGCTGCAGCTGAGAATAAGGAGGTTAGAATGCCATCAAATATAGCCGTTATCAGGAAGCAAACGAGCCTGCTGTATCACTCAGCGTCCGATGAGGTCAAACAACAGGTGGCGGAATTCATTGAAGAAGCCAAAAAGAAGAAGAAGAGAGAGTGGGAAGAGGCGAAGGGCGCAGGGGTAGCTGACCATCAAGTGTTAGTTGCATCTACAATATCCAAGTGGATACAAGCACTCACCTCGTGTCTCCAGATATATTGATAAACTACCTGGTGTCCTCTCTGAGTTCTTCGACGAACTCCAGAGACTCACTGGTCTCGTTTTCACAGTTCTCATGGGTGGCCCAACACCAGCAATGGGCGGGCAGATTGATGTCCAGAGCTTTCATGTTGGTGCGACCGAAATTGGGAATCAGTTCGACCTCGCGTATCCTGAGTTTAACTCAGGGATCATGCGACCATGGAAAGAGTTCGTTAAGCGTGTGTTTCGTAAGTCCGTGAAACCGAAACTCGGAATGTTTCTGACTTGGGGCTTGATAGCGGTGGCAACAGCGAAGGAAGAAGGAAGTGTTTTGGGTACGAGTCGACAGCCAACACTAGAGCCTGAGCCATGGAAAGAAAGCTCTGATGGACATGTATCACAGACGCCTGATACATCTGATGGTGCCTTTGGGAAAATCCCACGTGATGCTTTAACAGTGGCGTCATCCTCGGATATATTATTTGAACCACTCACATCCTTTTTTGATGATGACAACCCCACTTTAAAGGCGCTCCCTACATATCCTTCGCATTCGACTTCTGCTTCCATGGACTTGAACCTTGATGACGGGCTGTCTGTGGAAGGATACCACGAGTTCTTGAGAACGTACGTGGCTCCTCAGGAAATTCCAACAGGACCGCTATATCCCATACATGGACCCACCACTCCCACGCCAAAGCCACTTACACCTTCTCAGTCTGAGATACAAGGCACAGATCTCATGACAGAGGACAGTCCTGCTGAATCCCATCCGCCGCCTCTCTCCGAGTCTACCTCTGCAGAGGACCTGCCAGATGCTGCACCCGCGATGACGGATCCCATCACAAAGGACAATTCTGCTGATTCACATTTGCATCTGGCTTATTCACATCCGCAGCCTCTCTCCGAGTCTACCTCTGTGGAGACTGCACCCACAGAGGACAATTCAGCTGATTCTCGTTCGCACCCGCAGTCTCTCTCCAAGTCTACCTCCGCATTGGCCGCACCCTTCGAGTCTAACTCCACAGAGGCCGCACCCATCGAGTCTAACTCCACAGAGGCCGCACCCATTAAGTCTACCTCCACAGAGGCCGCACCCATCGAGTCTACCTCTGCAGAGGCTGTACCCTCTGGATGTACTTCCACAGAGGCCGCACCATTGATTGGCAGTCGTAGCAAACGAGTCCGGCAGATTTCCAAGCGCAACGAAATTGCGAACTCGATTGGGTCAGAGACTACCGGCTCTAAAAAACGGGGGAGTTCTGGTGTTAACGGTGGATACAGGAAGTAAGTCGTACTCAGTGTTCTCACACCTTCACATGCCTGATAACTCGTTCCCTTTGCGCAGGAAGCAAAAAAATGCCTAAGTCGACATATATTTCCTTTCAATTCCCTTTGATCGTACAATACTCTTGTGGTCCCTACCTAGACTGTAATAATGTATCTATGAAAATTTGCAATCACGTTCATGCTCGAATATATTCTGCGTGTGGTCTCAAGAACACACTTTGTATCCATGAGTATTACGACTATTTAAAAATAAACATAACGCTTGAAGGCAGAAACTGAGGATGGATACATAGCCCCAGTGACCAAAGCACAGATACATTGTCCAGTAGGTAAGGGAGCACCTTCTGACTTGAACGCAAAATCTTATGAAAGATACATTGTCCTCCCGGTGACCAAAGCACAGATACATTATGATAGGTAAGGTATGAGCAAAGGGACATCAGATGTATCAACTCTTGTAGTACCCAGCCAGATACATCTCGAGAAGGATGGATACATAACCCTAGAGAAGCAGCCTGAGTCTATACAGTCATAATGATACATCTAATATATTGTAATGACTGAGAAAAAAGGGAGTTCAACCAGATACATCTCGAGAAGGATGGATACAAGCCCCGGAAGTGCCCATGCTAGGAGGATCCACCAAACGGATACATCAGTATGATAGTCAAAAGGCGATGTATCAGATACATGACCTAAATGGGTAGAGAAGCGCAATGGAGGATCCCATTGATACATCCCTGCAATAGCTGAGAACACCAAGGTCGTTCACCCCATTTTTGTACCCGACTTTTCTCAGTCATTACAGTATATTAGATGTATCATTATGACTATATGGACTGCAATGAGGTTCACTGTCAGTTACACTGCTAGCTTCAGCAACACTTTCAGGTTCACACGCGCGAGGGCTGCTGGCATTGCCCCAGGAATTTGGGCCCGGGATCAGGATGTTCTTGCTTCCTTGACTTTTTACTCTGGCAAACTCAATTTGCTTTGTCGTTATGGAATGGATTATCTGTGAGTACTATCTGTCTCACATTCCTCTTACGCATCTTTACCGTTTCATAGAAGAGCTTGTCTCATAACCACTACCATCCAAGTGTTTGTTCTTCCCAGTCGCGCTCCCTTCTATCTTCTTGTAAGGCCACTCTCACTATCGCCCGTGCCTATCAGTATGCATACCATACTTACCCGATGTACACTCTCGCTGTCACCGGCGGAACCTTGAATGCTCTCGGTGCCATCTCGTTGCTCAGATTTCCCAAAATACTGTGGGTATACTCTTTTTTTCTACCTCGTTTGCCGGTAACTCATGAACCCATAGCTCGTTAAAGATCATGAGCCCAGACCCAGTTAGGATCCCGCACGTACACTGCGTTTCTTTTGTCTGGGAAGCGGTATGAGTAAGTCATGTGCAACTTGATTTTCGGAGTAAACCTTGAATCATCCGCTTGTGACACCCTCTACTCAAGAGGTGGAATTTGTTACTAGAGAGACAATGAAGTTCCTCCCCGAGCATGGAGAATTCAGCCCATCAGTTTCAGAGCTCTTTCAAAATGTGTAGCTGCCGACTAACTAATAATGTGAGACTTTCATTATTTGATACTGTCGTAGACTGACGCCTTGGTCGCTAGGGCACCGATTGGGGTAAAAATCAGATTCTTGATCACTACTTTGAACGTGGGCTCATACGTGTTCTAGCTCGTGATGTTTGTAGGCTCTATGGGTGTAATGGAATGTCGAAGTCCCAGGCAAATACACTGACATGTTTACTCCCACTCTTCTAACCAACTGGAAGGTTTGGCCTACAGCACAAGTAAGTTCAGGGACACTAGTAACTGTTCGTTGATGTTGAACTTAGTTTCTCATAGATGATTAATTTCCGATATATGGGGGCAAGTCTGTTACAAACTCCTACTATATCTGAGCTATGGACTCGAGCGCAGGCTGCTATCGCTGGAAACCTCGCTAATCCACCACGCTTGAGGGCGAGTCGAGCGAGCAGCTTATTCGTGTGTTTTTGCCGTAAGTCTATTGCAAAGCGGTGTTTGAACTCAGCTGGACTCCCCCGGGTTTACTCTAGATGCCGTCATGAACGTTACGAGATAATTGAAGCCAAATTCGAGTCAAGTATGTACCGGTATGAAGGCTACCCGCTGTTTCCTGTCCGTTTATAGTAATATCATGTTACTTACCACTGTTCTTACACTTTTAGGATGCATGACACTAGTTTCTGGTGATTTAGAAACAATCTGTTCAAATACCTCTGGCCGAGTCGGGAAGCAGTTGACTATATATACTGGGTACCGGTAAGTTTCTTTCTCTCATCTTCTTGCCTCGTTCCTTGTCACTGCATTATATTCCCCTCTCCTACTACTTGATGTCGCTGTCACAGGGCGAGGACAGGATGTTGTACGGTGATGACCAGTCTGGGATAGACTTGGACAACCAGCAGAGCCAGCAGCCTCCAAAATCATCTCAAGAGTCATTATTCCTGCAGGCCCGGCAGAGACGTAAAATCGCTGAACTGGAGGGAAAGCTAGAGACCTTGGAGTCAGGGCGCTGAAGGTACAACAATTCAGAGAGTGAGTCTGAACAATGTTGGGTCTTGCAGAACCTAGCTGCTATTTGACCCTAAAGGGTTTCTGGACCAGGCTCAAGGCTCAGAGGAGAGGAAATATCATGAAAAACTACTGAAGACTCAGACTCATACTGATAACTGGTGAAAAGATAACTTCCTTATGTAAGCTACAAAAGTGCCAACATAAGGTAAGGTAAAAACAGTCTCTACAAGCCCAGCCAGAAATGAATCCCTACAGCGCACTTCAAAAGAAAGGTATGACCATCATTTCATGCATCAAGTTGGCTTCACTCAACATCTGTCAGGCAAACAAATTATTATTTAGCTCAAGGAAGAGGCATCAGGCGTACCGTCACCTTATTCGATAGTATCGAAGACCTCGTCGCTGAAAATGACAGAAGATACGATGACAACGACGACACAGCTACTATCGAGTAAGTTTTTCCGACCTTGGTTTGTCACCAGCGTCCTCACATCAATTTTTTTTACGTAGTCAAGAACGGCTGCAAATAGGATACGATATCCTAATAAGAACTTTGCCGTGGTTGCTGAAGACGTCCTCCAACGTGGAGCATGACGATTACACCCGCATGCTCAAAATGGTGTGTGTTATGCCAATGCTGATGGTCGACTTTATCATGACAAGTCTTTGGTTTAGCTTAGGCAGGGGGCTGATGGAGCTCAAGGCGACGATACATCGAAACTGAAGACTCTTATTGCTGACTGGGTCAATCGTGAACTCAAACTGAATACCCCAGTGGACCCTGACGACAAACATTCTCGCGGATTCATCAGCAATGCGTGTGGCAAGTTACTCTGCCTGGCTGAGCTTGATTGGAATAGCCCAGTGTACGTAGTGCATTCGGAAACCTCAAGCAACACTAACTGTTCACCAGCACAAAGGCAGGGATTTGAGATTGCTCTGAAGGTTATATTGTGACGGACCTCTCCTTTCCGGCCTTCTTGTATGAGAAGTATACTGCCAATCTTGACAATTTGGAGGAAGGCCTTTTTAAGGGCAAAATCTTGGTGCAGGTAAGTTGCACTGAGTTGCATGGCCATGATCTCACTGTTCCCAGGGCTATAAAGCTGTCTTCACGTCTCCCTCCTCAGCAAAAAACATTGAGGGTGATGGTGATGGTGCTGACGTCATTGAGAACAATAGACGTACTAAAACAGCCTTGGGAATCAAGGTCAAGAAACATGTCGCGCAAATTATTAAGATGGAGAAAGTCACTCCCTGCTCAATTGCATATATCGCCTGTCAAGTAAGTTGTTGTTGTTGTCGTCATCGATGCTCTCATCCTAAAATAACAGGTACGATTTGCGCTTTCTTCTGTCACGTCGTGGCGGACTGTCGACGGCAACTTCAACTACGTACAGTTCTGGTGGTCCATCGTGGATTTCTTCGAACGGCCTCCTGGTCGAGAAGCACAGCGTAGGGTCAACAGACTCCTTGAGTGGTGGACTAGGTGCATATTTTATAATGATACTGTCAATGTCGAGGAACATTATCAACTTGTCTAGGAAAGTTTTCGGTAGGAGCCGCCGTGAGGATCTAAGTGATGCGGCGAGGTCCACCATGTCTGTCAATGCTCTTGCAAGGCAGAGAGCACAACTCAATGACGCTGCTTTTGATTTAAACTAGGGACATATCGTTGTTCAAATATCTTATTATCTACATACTATTCTTACTGTCGTAGTTTTTTTATCAATTTTATGATTTTATGATCTATGTATGTGATGCTCATACTGCTGGCATCCTTGTTGACAATTTAAACTGGCCAAAAGTATGTATTTTCCGGCCTTCGTGACAATACTCGCACAGAAAGTGCGCACTTACAAGCTGAAAGGAATTGACAGACATGTCGAATTCGAAGTTCTACTGATAATGCTTGCCATTGTAGGGCTATTTTATCTCCGAGCAGCTCTCTATAGTGATTCCTAGCAATCTTGAGATGTTTAAATAAATACCTAACTCGGGCCGACGACACTGATATGGTTAGATCGCAAAGCTATATCACCCAAGTCACGAATGCGTGCAATAATCATGCTTCTGCAGGGTGAAAAGTAAAAGAGGGCTTCGGTTGGATGGTAAGTGGAGCACCAAATTTGTGCACAACCCCTCACTGTCGAGTTTCGAGTTAAGTACTGAGCTGTAACTCCACAGTGCTCATGCGCAGCTCAAGCATATTGGAGACATAGTTGTGAGTGATATACCACTGCCAGTCGTTTATTCACCCAAAGAAGATTGCCTAGAGACTCAAATCACGACACAATTTGATCGTTGCCAGCTTAGTAAACATGGTGCACAAGGGTAAATAATTTTCACACACATTCCTAATTGATATACTGTGAATCATCCCTGTATCCCTAAAGAACTGATGTTCAGGTTCGAATCAGGTCTCAAAACTCACTGTCGCCCATGCGGGTCAACACGCACTCTTTGTCTGGAAGGTATCGACCTTCAGTCGTAGCTTCATAGTTGCGAGCGTCCTTTCTAATGTCAGGCAATTCGCACGATGGCGTTGAGGTTCGAATCAGGTCTCAAAACTCACTGTCGCCCGCGTGGGTCAACACGCACTCTTCGTCTGGAAGGTACCAACCTTCAGCCGTAGCTTCATAGTTGCGAGCGTCCTTTCTAATGTCAGGCAATTTGCACGATGGTGTTGAGGTTCGAATCAGGTCTCAAAACTCACTGTCGCCCACGTGGGTCAACACGCACTCTTCATCTGGAAGCTATCGACCTTCAGTTGTAGCTTCATAGTTGTGAACCTGTATTCCGTTATGGTATTATCGATCAATCTAGCTTAGCCGTCGACTTTTGTGACGCCTTCACTTCAACTGTGGGTTTGGGTGAAATCAGGGCCTTTTCTCTATCATAAAATTTTGTAGGAAGATCAGGGAACCTTCTTTCCTCTATAAGGCCAAACATAACAATGTAATCGTCGATAGCATAATTATGCTGGTTTTTGTGATTATGTACTATATATCGTGATATATGGCCTTCTACTTTCCTCATGTGTTCACTGATGCTTTGGTAAAGGTATCGAATCAAATGGATCAGAGTCTTGTGCCTGAGATCTGAGAGGTGAAGATAGCAAGGGTGTTCACCCCATCAGAACGAAGGTCAGCCAAGCATTTCAGGTGGCGTATGACGCGGACTTGCGATAGAAGTGGTAGGGAAAGAACTAGTGAGGACGCTAAGATTGAGATGAGGGTGAGAAATGTTTGGAAGACGATGATTGAGATAACGCCTGTGAATTCGGGTGATCAGGGTGCCTAAGTAGACTCGTGACCAGTCTGTCTAATGAGGCAAGCCATCGATTAGACAGACTGGTAAATCTGGGTTTGAATTTGGATAGTGCGCGGGTTCGTCAGGTAACGTGATCTGTAGCCAATGGGAAAACTGAAAATTTTGACGTGAATACTAAAATTATTGTTTGAAATTTTGAAATTTGACGCGACGCGTCGCGTCAAATGCATGTATCTGCGCTACAACTTCAATGGATGTGAATGCTGTCATTTAAGCAATGCGACAAGCATCATTAGATGGTCTAGATTCCTTCGCTCGCTCGCTGATAGGAGAACGGCTTCCTACCGACTACATTCAATCACTCAGTAACACAGACAGAACAGATGCACTTCATGCTTGCTTGCTTGTGTACATCCTTACAGCAACTTTGATCGTGCCACGAGAGTTTCAACTGGAGGCTGCTCTTGCAACACTCAACGGCCGCGACAGTGTAATAACAGCAGGTACAGGCTGTGGGAAGACACTGTGTCTCATCCTGCCAATTATCCTCCGTCCTGACACCATCCGTATGACGATTTCGCCGCTGAAACGCCTCCAGATTACCCAGGTCAGACCAAAATTTGGCTTTTTAGGTACTGAGTGCGACAAAGAGCTCACCAGGTGAAAGAGTGTCTGAAATATGGCATATCTACAATATCTATCAACGAGGACATTCCAAATGATGCATCACTATGGCAGGTACACCCAACATGAAAAGCTGTTGATTTCGCTGTGTAAGGGGATACTTTAACTCATGTTTTCAATCAACAGTCAATTCGTACTGGGAAGTTCAACCATTTAATTGTTTCGCCAGTACATGAGATAAACATACAATAACGACAACGCGATTATCTCATGTTTAGTCCCAGTTTACAGTACATATTCCCTCAATAAAGTCTTTGATTTTCCTTCAATATTCGACACCGTCTATTTTTGTGGGAAGCAATACAGATCCGCCATATGCTAGGTACCAACAATTGCATCAATTCTGGCCCTTCTACTACCTTCCACCGCTTCCCAATCATTTTGTGTGTTCAGTATCAACCTCCAGCAGCCTCCTGAAGCCACGAACATGGCAGGACCTCACCGAAACGCACCCAACAAATCCTCTGGCACCTTCGAGCCCTTGAGCACTGCTACACTGGGTCCATTGGCAAGGAAGAGCGCATCGGAAACCCCAGCAAATGTGTCCACCTCAAAACGAGCATGGCCTGCAGAAGGATGCAGCAGCGGATGGATCGGGGTTCGAGCGAGGCCATGAGCGAGATCGAGCAAGCAACAGGTGACAGTGATGTAGTCATTGATCCAAGCCTTCGACATATGGACTCCGCATCAGCCCTGACCGAACGGTTCAGCCACGAACACGCACCTATTCAAGACAGTGGTCCTGTCCGACATGCAGCATATATGCACCCCAAAGGGCACGGGAGTGTTTCTGCTTCACATGTGCCAGTCTCAGCCCCTTCTCGACCTGTTTCGACCATGCGAGGTCCACCAGTGCATTCAAACCCATCTCACGTCATCTAGAAGCACCACCTCTCAAACTGTCAGCACCATTCAATCAGTTTTGAACTCCCAACATACCTCCTGCTCGTCAGCCAGGCTTCTCGTCGAGATTGACGTCCATGTCCACTTTCATCCCATCCTGAGATGTTGTAAGTAGCGGAAATCAAACTCACACCAGACGTACATGATTGTGGGCTACTGTCACCCCTAGCAGCATGCAGTAAGACACAGAATTAGTGTTGATAGGTACGAGACGGACCGTAAATCCCATGGGAATGGTGGCATGTTATCATCTGTAACAAAGGTGCAAACAACAGCAACTGTCTTCGAAATTTCACCCTGATCTTCGTACTCCATATCGATTTTGAGGATCCATTGAATTTTGACAGCAGTTTGACCATTGAAATAGGCGTGACGAGCTGATTTCCTGCGGGGTTGTGTTGCTGCTCCGTAGTGCAAGGGCTTCGACAAACACATGGGCTCTTGCCATCGTAGAAGTGCCCACGCAGTGAGTGGTTTGAGTGCGCAGCAATGTGTCATGTCCGCCATCATCGTGAGAGAAGATCATGAGCGCTCACGGCATATTGCGGAGCTCGAGATCTGGACTTAGCGAAACGTTTGAAAATAATCATGAGTTACAGCTCGAGAATGTACAGCTGCAGACGCTGGTTATTCGGAGAAAACAGGGCGGACATGCTACATTATGTTTATTTACTGATTACATGGGATTTTCCGAAAATAACAAGCTGCTGCTATTATTTACCCTCAAAGTCCAGTGACCCTCGTTTCCCCTTATCATGGTGACCCCATGATGGCATTCTCAGTGCATATAAGGATGAAACAATGCTAGCTATTTACTCTCACGTTTCTCGTCTCTAACGCTGCACTGAGGATTTCACACAATGGACGTGAGTCGCTCTTGATTTTACAAACGTCATCAATAATGATGGCTAATTAACCCGGGCAGGAAAGTAATGTCACCGTTCAATGCAAGATCGAACCAAATATTATTCCTGCGACAGCCATCCGAAGATCACAGAATAGTCCTCATTATACTGGAGGGTTTGGCGATGTCTGGAAATGTCACATGTCTACACAATCTCAGCCTGAGGCCCGTCTTGTAAGTTTACAAACAAGGGAACAACTCCAGTGTCACAGTTATTTATCACAATATTAAAGGTCGCGGTCAAATCCCTAAGGACGGAAACAGGTGTGCATAGTTAGGTTCTATCCGTAAGCTTGATTCTGAATGATCCGCGTCTTCCTCAATTTGCAGATAGTATGCAAATATTACAAAAAACAAGCAAGGTGAAGGCATGAAGTAGTTCACCGTTGCAATCGCTGATAGGTTTGCTTACTCACCAGAAAATTTGTAGAGAGGCCTACGTTTGGATGCAGTTGTTGCACGACAACATTCTCCCTCTGGAGGGTGTTACCGAAGGGTTTGGGCCTCTTCTCGCATTGGTCACTCCATGGATGGAAAATGGATCACTTGAAAATTGTTTGAGACGAGAAGTTGGTCTTGCGTGGGAAAGGAAGTTAAGTATGGTATGTATTTTATATCTGCGGAGACACGCTGAGCCCTAATGTGACATGTCAGGTAAGGGAGATAGCAGCTGGTCTTCAGTATTGTGAGTGACACTCTGGTCTTGTACTTTGATTGATTGAACTACCGCAGTGCACGCCAAGGGGATTGTCCATGGTGACCTAGCTCCTGTAGGTTTCATTCGCCGTACTCTGTGCAGAAATGGAAATGACGGTTCCACAATTTAGACCAACGTCCTAGTCAGTAGTGACGGGAGGCTCTGTCTCAACGACTTCGGTCTCTCGATGGTGCTCGCAGGATCAGGCAACCCTACATTTCACTCATATCACGCGGGCAATGTCCGGTGGACGGCTCCAGAGCTAATTGAGGAAGATGCCAAGCCAACCAAGCCCAGCGATGTTTACTCATATGGTTGTATCATGATGCAGGTGCGTCGCGTGTTCCCATTCAAATACCATGTTACTGATATCATACAGGTGTTTTCTGGCCTTCAACCTTATGCACCTCTCGCGCAGGCTATTCACGTTATCACAGCAGTGCTAAGGGGGCGCAAACCGTTCTTCCATTTGGCTACTAGTATCGGCGAAGACATACTGCAGTCTGGGCAACTATGCTTGTCAATGAACATAGAGGACCGTCCGTTGATAGGCCAAATTGTGGAGTTCTTGTGGTCACAGACAAACATCGCGGAGACTATGAAGACGATGCTGTTGCAACTTCCAGTCCCAGTGACACAAATATCGCAAGCAGTTCTCACGAAATGTGACTACGATCCTGATGGTTTGGACGTCCTTGGTGCAGCTTTGAGATGTAAGTGGGTTGTGCGTGGGTCGAATGAGACCGAGGTCGGTGTATTTATTTACATCCACGAAACTGTGTGTAATCCATCAGCTGACAGGTCGCGGTGAAGACTTTGAGGGATGATGTTAACAGTCAAAATGACATCAACAAGGTATTCAATGTGAGTCAACATACAGTTCAGCATCGCTGTATAGATGAATCATTACTAAATAATGCATTGTTTGGCAGAGGATTCGTCGTGAGATGTATGTCAGGGAAAAGTTGAGGCATGAGACCATGCTTGCCCTCTACGGAATGACTGAGGGTTTTGGCATTCTCCCATCTTTTGTATACCCATGGATGGCAGGCGGTTCGCTGCACGACTACGTGAAACGAGAGCACCTCAATTTATCTGCGCGTCGGAAGCTGGATATCGTGAGTTAATGATTCAAAGTTCGTCGCATTCATAGGTTCTTCATCTCTGACCTCGAATGAGCAGTTAATGGAGGTGGCGCATGGCATCGAATATCGTCAGTGTCCCTTATATTAGCTCGTGCATGGAACTCACGTGCAATCTTAGTACACAAGCGGGACGTTGCGCATGGCAATTTAACGGGTGTATGCTTCAATTACTTACGTTACGCCAAGATTCTTACTGCATCCCTAGGACAACGTTTTCCTTGACGGTTCAGGACGTGTGCACATCGCAGACTTCAGTCACTCCGTAATCCTGGCTGAAGCAGATAGTCGGACGTTCAGGGAGCAGCTCCCGGGGGATGCAAGATACATTGCACCTGAGTCTATCTTCACTGGTGGCCAGACAGGAGCACCAAAACCTACCAAAGAAGGAGATGTGTACTCATATGGCTGCGTCGCAATTCTGGTATGTTATACGGCTCATCTACTTTCGCATTTTACACCGCTATTCCCTAGGTATTGTCGGGAAAGGTGCCGTACTGGTGGATTTCGGAAGATAGTCAAGTGCTTTCAGAAAAAGAAAAGGGTACATCGCCTTTTCATCCTGCAGTGGAGGTATGATGCTTGCGATGTTTCTCTTACGCAACCCTCAGAGGGTTTTTGATCCAAAGATTGATGAAGCGCATTTGAACTTGGTGCAAGAGTGCCTGTCGGCGGTCAAATCCCGTCTTTCAATCGAGAAGGTCCTCTACTTAGTTTTAGTCCAAAGTTCCGGGTAAGCCACTAACCTTTCATGCATGCCACTGTTAGGCTCATCATCTCCAGTGCTACTGATCTGACGACTTCGGTCGAACGACCCAACAAGGTTCACCAGAACGCCGGAGGATTTGCAAATGTTCATAGGGGCAAACTGGATCTAAGAGACATTGATGCCGTCCAACGAGTTGTTTTCCGCTATCAATTTCCTTCCATATCGACTCGTGTTGACGTAGGTGCCTTGTCCGTCATTTCGTTCTGCCTCTCTCATAGCAATCTAGGTGGCAGTCAAGGAAATAATTGTGAATGGCGATACAGACATATTGAAGATTATCAATGTCAGTAGTGATGGGTTCTGCCTTCGATCAACTGACTTTTGGTCCTTCAGCGATTGTTCAGAGAGATTACGCTATGGTTGAAACTCGAACACAAGAATATCGTTCCTCTTTGGGGAGTTGCAGATGGCTTTGGCTCCCTCCCAGCACTTGTCGCGCCATGGTTAGAAAATGGAGCGCTGACCGGATACCTTCGACGTGAGCACGAAAGGCTTTCTTACAACAAAAAGTTTGCACTGGTTTGGTCAATTTCTCATCTTACCACAATCTGCATGCTAAGGTCTCTTTAGCTCAAGGACATAGCTGAAGGGCTTCAGTATCGTATGTTGGATGTTTTGTCATGGATACGAGAGTCAACTAACACAGATCGAGGCAGTGCATTCGCAGTCAATTACCCATGGTGACTTGAGCGGTGTATGTACACATTTAAGAGTTGTCTGAAACTTCAACTGAAGCTTGCTCAGAATAACGTTCTCGTCGATAAATATGGAAACGCAAGCCTCACCGATTTTGGACTCTCTGCTCTCATTCCTGAGAGAATAAGTCAAGCATTGATGCCAACCAATTGCGGAGGCACCGCACCCTACATGGCACCAGAATGCTTGGCGCTCGATGATGAAGGCAATGAATCAGCGCCGGTATTCTCTCCGAAAAGTGATGTATACTCTTTCGGAGGGATCATGCTACAGGTACGTAACCTGAATCATCAACATTGAATCAGCTCATATCTCTGCAGGTATTGGAGGGCAAGGTCCCATACCATTACGTCCAAAGATATGAAGCCATAATCAACAACATATCACGCGGGAAAAGGCCCAGAAGGCCGCTTGCTCCTATTATCGAGGACAGCGATTGGAATTTCATCCAGAGTTGTTGGTTAGAAGATATGGGACGTCGTCCCTCTGACGAAGATATCCTGGAATTTATGGAAGAACGGGCTGGAATTTAGTCCCACTTAATGTTGCCTTTGTATATCGTGTGTAAATTAGGAACCACGCGGACGTCGCTTGGACACCATGTCTGGAATCAAGTGAAGTACTGATCGATCGATTCTACCACTCCTCAGCTTAATCAACCCACAAGATTAGTATTGCATGTTTCCTGTACAAAGTAAAGCAAGGTCATAGTGGACGAAAGCTACTACATTTAACATATAACACAAGGACCGTCAGACATCGCAACACTTATCTATCACCCAAAATATTGGTCCACAAATGCGCCGTGCTCGGGTTGAACAGCGTAAGCTTTGACGGACCTTGACCGAAAACATATGATATATACTTTCAGTGGTGAGTCGCTTCGTTGGCGAATCTATCTCCGGCCATGTTCCCGAAATCTTACTACAGTATTCATAGCAGCTACATAGATTGCAATTACTCGTCATTAAAGCTTCTGCAGCTCGGCTTCTATGAACGCTACGATTTCCTGGACTTTAGGTCGAGCATTGGAATTGGTGGACAGACATTGCAGCCAATACTGCTTATGGCCTTCGTCAATGCCGGTGAGCTGGCGGAAGGGCTTTCTTCCTCCCAATATCGCTGCTATCACGTGAAACGCTTGCACCAGCGAGTAGTAAGGTTGTTGACCACAAAGTAGCTTCAGAGTGTCAGACATGCACCGATCTCGATGAACGAAATATGATACTTACCTGAAGCACGATACAACCGTGAGAATATACGTCTGCTGAGTTCGTTGGTTTTATTGGCTTTGTCCCTTCCTCTTGTTCTAAATCAGGTAGAGCGACCATTTCGGGGGCCATCCAACGCACGTTACCCCCGTGGCAAGAGTTGAATGTGGGGTTTCCCGATTCTGCAAGGATCACCGAGAGACCGAAGTCTGCAAGGCAAAGCTTGTCATCACTATTAATGAGTACGTTGTTCTGAATTTATGATATCGTCATCTCTCAAGCATAGTTCTGTAAATGATAAGAGATCTACCGGCGTCAAATCGCCATGGACAATGCCCTTTTCATGCACTAAGGGACTATTTCAACCTGAGTCGCGCATGGAAAAATAGAAACTACGCACAATACTTGAGACCGGATGCTATCTGACGTGACTGCTTTGCTTGAGATTCAGCTAGTCTTTCAAACACAAGCACTTACCATGTCCAGCTTCTGGAATGTCGAAAGCGGAATATGTTGTTTCAGGTAGCTATCAAGAGAGCCTTTGGTCATCCATGACGAAATAAACGCTGGCAAGTGGCTGAAACCAGTCGTAATTCCGTGAAGTGAGAGGATGTGATCGTCTTTCAAGTTGGCCCAAACATGGGCCTCGCGCCGTAGATCCTGTCAACCAGAAATCAGCAAGTAACGTTAATATGCTATAACGAGACCTTACCCGTGCAGCCTTTGCCAACAGTGCCGTTTCACTGCTGTCAAGGACCCTCACTGCCTTGATTGCAACCTAGGAACAAGCAAATCAATGTGCGTACACGCGTGCTTGGAGTTGAGCTCACTGTGACAGGGGGACTCTTACTGGAAGAGGTTGACCAGATACATTGCCAGACATCACCAAAGCCACCGGCATGATGAGGCATATTCTGAGTTCTCCTGAGTTCTGCCTCTGGGATCTCTTTGAGAGGAGTTTTGAAATCAATGTTGTGTGATGGCATCTTTATTCGTCTCGGATGAGAGTGTGGGTGTAAGTAATACGTCGAATAGCAAATACAAGTAGGGTATAAGTACAGAGTGGAACGTTCCTCCTAAATGACAGATAACAGATAAATGATAAGTAGATCACCCGGACAAGTGTAACATAAGTCATTGATGTTAGATAAAAAATGTGTGACATACCGGCAAGCGCCTGCACTTGATAAAATAAAGTTCCGTGGATAGAGTTTCAACTACAGCATTGAAGGACCGACCGGTCGACCGAGCGCTGGAACGTTCAGCGCTCATCTACGGATACCGAACTCTTCAGATTCAATAGATTTCCGTCAATCTCCGTGAGTGAGAGGGTGTCCGTCTGAGTTTCACTAGGATTGATAGATCATCTAATGACAGGGTCTTGCACAAGCCAAAAAGGTCACGCCAGTGAGGACGGCTACTAGGGCGACTTTTGATCACATACCTGCTTTCTGGAAAACCTTTGACACATGTGATGAAACATCAAGTTTGAACGCTCAAGAACTAGTAGCACAGCAACGTTATCGTAGGCGTTTAGCTGCAGTCGAAGTTTCTATTGAAGAGAACCAGCCGACTCGCTCGGAGCGCTATTACGTGTATATTATTAGTAATAGACAGGAACCGAATTCCCCCGCTTCCGTTCCTCTGAATCAATTCCTATCATATCTTATATCATTCTAGTGGGGTAGCCTGCCAACATATGTCGCGCCAGCCTCAGGCGTCCGTTGAGGGTGACAATGGCGAGATCTTATTTCTGCATACTGATGACTTTTCTCAAATGAAGCGCAGTGCCGACATTCGGCTACATCATAGACCGCTCGTACTGGCTCAGCGCTGCAGCCATGTTTCATATGAGCATAGATGGGATTAGCAGCATTCGGGGTTTTAATAATATAGGTTACAATGGCAAGTCCCTGCGCCCATAGATGTCATCCCTAGATCAGAAATGGCTATTGGTCGTTATACATCTAGCGCTGAGCGCTGATGGAGCAAATGACCTCGCTCGCCTCCACCACCGATCGAAAGACCTCAGAGGAAGAGGCCAAACAAGCATAATTACATAACGATAGAAGATAGCAAATTGTCATAAGAATCAAGCATGCCTTTGTAGTTATCCCATATCTTCTTCTTTCGATATGAAGGTTCTGTTTCCTACTTGGCTTCAAGTCTGGTGGAAGAAGTGGCAGAGGAGATCACACTTACTCCTCGCCAGCCTTGGGCTTGGTTCGAAGTTGACACAAAAAAAAATATACGACGAGAATGAGTTTGTTTTTCAGTGCATTTATGTCACGCAATTTTTACTGAGCACCGGGTCATTAGTCTGCCCGACCTCACTGAGGAAATAAGCAAGGAACCATCCCGATACCCTGTTGCTCAAGGCAGCTTCGGGGATGTTTGGAAGTGCATACACAGCTTGAAGCACCCTCGAATCACGGTAGAGGTGAGTAGCTCCTTCAAGTTCGCACCTGTTAATATGTGCTCAATGCTTATGCCGTTTCCCCATCTACCAGGTTGCAGTAAAGTGTCTGAGACTTGAAATTCCGAACAATGACTGCAAGATAAAGGTTACCGAGGTTTGGGCGGCTCCGCATGCTGGTACCACGTGTTTATTTGCTAATGCCCAACACTTCAGAGTCTAGAACACGACTTGCAGCGGAACACTAAGCTAGAACACGCCAATCTGTTACCGTTTCTGGGAATAACTCAAGGGTTTGGTCCGCTGCCTGCTATCGTTTCCCCATGGATGCAGAAGGGCTCGCTTACCATGCTTCTGGAACGCGATTTTCAGCAACTCACTCTCACTCGGATGCTCCAAATCGTGAGTCTTTCTTTATGTATGGTGTAGCTCCCGTCCTAATCTTTGCTGTTATAGCTCAAAGATGTCGTTTCAGCTCTTCAATACTGTACGCGGCAAATGTTACTTGTTCGGCGCAAAGCTAACGTGAATATTAGTACACTCCAAAAACATAGTTCATGGGGATCTCACCGGCGTGAGTGCCACAGACGCCTTTTTTGTCAAAGCAGTTATTGACACGACTCAGAACAACATTCTCATCAATGAGAACGGCAACGCCTTTGTAGCTGACCATGGGATTTTCATTTTTTGTGCCGAGCTCCACGGCACGTCATATATCAGAAGTAATGTGCGATGGGCTGCACCTGAAAACTTCCAAGTCCCTGAAGATGACGAGTCAATAAGCCTGCCTCAATTGGCATCAGACATATATTCTTTCGGCTGTATCATGTTGCAGGTTTGTGAGCGGATCTTGGCACCATTCAATGTGATTATCATTCTCTTTATAGGTCTTTACAGGAAAAGTTCCGTATTCCGAATTTCGTAGTGACCATCAAGTTACCGTGCAGATACTCAGAGGCAGAAAGCCTGCTCGACCAGTGACTCCGTCCGTAGCAGATACTCTGTGGGATTACATACAGAAGTGCTGGCTTGATAAACCGGAACACAGGCCTCCGGCCGAGGAAGTTCTGATATTTATACAGGGACAGCTGAAACTGCTAGAGGAAAGCTCCTGATACTCTGATGCGACTCGTGATGCCATGACAGTTTCTTAGCATTTTTGTATGTTGTATTATCTATCTTACGCTCTGTGTAACATAATGTTCACGACATCTCATGCCTCCATATCTCTTTTGAAAACTCACTCGCAGGTTTGGAGTTATCATGTCAGTGTGTCCACAGATAGTGCCATCGAGTAAATCACAAAAAAAACTCTAATACTGATGAGGGTATAAGTATCGCAATTGTGATACTGAGTGGATAACAGGTTCAGCATCTCTCCGACATGGTCGTTGTCTGGGCTTGACATTGTGATAGCTGTTTAAAATGGCAACCGGGCGGTAATCAAGAGTTAGTACAATACCCTGTGTGGGGAGGTAAGCGCCATCAAACGTGCATAGCCTGATCCTGATTTGATTGATTCTATTCTATTCTATTTAATTAAAGACGAGAACACGGTCCAACTGAGAGCAGGACACGGTCAGAGCATCATCAGATAGAGTCAGGTAAGCAACCCACAAGACGAGAACACGCACTTCCTGAGAACGGGATGCGGCCAGAGCACCATCAGCATTCAGGTTAGGGTTGTTGAAATTTCAGCTGAAGACTGCAAGTGAAGTTTTGTAATAACATGTACTCTGCTGGATGTGAGGGTTGCGAATACGGTGCATGTCTGCCTTCAGTTATTGGAACAGAGTTAATGAAGGATTACGTGTGCCACTGTTTACTGTAGCCTCCGTAGGAGCTCTGTAATCGTCGTTTGCATACTCGACTTTCGGTTGTTAGGTGCCATCAGCACCCAAAGGACAAAGATACGCACCAATCGATCGAGTGATGAGCCTGGCACCGAGTCGAATACCTGGCGCCAATGTGATTCATAGCACCGCAAAAATGACATTAGCATTCAACTTTAAGGTCTGTCTCCTGTTTGAAGATGACCCTCATGAGTCATAAGGATCAGGAAGATTCTAATGCATTGGAGCTCAATACAGCTTTTGACCCACGAATTATGTAGCAAACTTACTTGGGATTGAAATCGATGGTGATGTGATCCACATGATAATAACCCCAAGATGGTCGGTCAATGCGCCGAATGAGCTGCACCCACCGATGAGGTTCTTGATTAGGCATCTGTGAGAGGTAGCTGACATACATATGGTCAGTACATCAGCATCACAAGGATAAATCATCGACAGGACCGAGAGACAACGCGAACTGGCATTAGGAATAATCATGTCCGTCGGGAGGATACCATGTGTAGCAAATGTTGCGTGCGTGCGTCAGAAACGACGAAACTAGAATGCAGACGAAGTGAGAACGCGCATCAGGCAATTGCAGTAACCACTTACTTCGCAGAAGTCTTCTCCGCTAATCACACAGACCTACCATCAATTCGCCTTCGCGAAAGCCGTCAGGTCCTCATGATATGTGTCAGATTAATAGTGCACATCTGCATGAGGCGTTAGCGTCTGAATTAGTGATGATGGTGGAACGTACCTCTGGTCTTGGAAGCAGCTCCTGAAGCCACTAGTGTTCAGTATAGTCCACTTCCCCAACAAAATCTACGTGCTCAGCATTCTTTGGCGTGTAATCCATCATCCGACGATTAGGAGGAAGACTGGTTTCAAGACCGTAAAGTTTTGAGTAGTGTGGTGAGATCCTTTGGTAAAGGTATCGAATCAAGTGGCAGAAGTCTTGTGCCTGAGAACTCAGAAGTGGAGATAGCGTGGAAAATGGAAGGGTGTTCGCTTTATGATATTATCAGAACGAAGCCAAGCGTTCCAGGTGGCGTATGACGTGGACTTACTATGGAGATAGGGAAAAAGAAGTGGGGACGCTGAGATTGAGAAAAGAGGGTGAAAGATGTTTTCGAAAAGATTGAGATAACTCCTGTGAATTCGGGTGATCAGGATGCCTCAGTCGCAGCCAGTTGGGAGGGCAAACTTTTAAGCGCTCTGGGTTTGTCAGGAGAGATATCCTTGAAGATGGAAAGATGAAACGATAGTCAAATAGATCATGTGCATGATCACGGAACGTTCTGTACGTTTCCACTGAGCCAAGAAGGGGATGGAACTTTGATGTACGGTATTTGAATTACGTCACCTAACTAACTTTACAGGTAGAGAAGCCAAAGGCTGCAGACAACCCGAACAAAACGTGCATAGTTCGGATCTTCCTATCTGAAGGATATGAATAACTCATGTCAGGGATATCGATCACCCCCGTTTTCACACTGACCCTGCAGCCTCATGCACATAGTCTGACGAAACACTGCCCCATGATGCGGCATTCGTTTAACCATACATATAAGGATGAAACAATACCGTCGCACGCTATTTAGTCTAACGCTTCTCATCTTGAATGCTGCACTGAGAATTTTACCTCACAATGGACGTGAGTTGATCTTGATTTTACAAGCGTTATCAATGATGCATATGTCTGACATGGACAGAAGAGCAATGGCATCGTTCAATTCAAGATCAAACCAGATCTCATTCCTGCGACAAATCTTTTAAGAGGTGGTAACTTTCCTACTTGGACAGGAGGCGTTGGCGATATCTGGAAATGTCTCATGTCTACGCAATCTGGGGTCCAACGTCCGGTAAGTTTACAAACAGGGGATGTTATAGCTCCAGTGTTGCGGTCATTTATCACAATCAAGGTCGCGGTCAAATCCATCAGGGTCTCGTCGGTAACAGGTATGCACAGTGGGGTTCTATCCGAAGGGTTTGTTCTGATTAGTCCGTGTCTCCCTCAATTTGCAGATGCGACATTATTAAAAGTAATAGGCAAGGTGAAGGCATGAAGTAGTTCACCCTTGCACTTGCTGATGGATTTACTTAAAAGAGGATTCGTCGCGAAGCCTACGTTTGGATTCAATTATTGCATGACAACATTCTCCCTCTGGAGGGTATTACCTTTGCCGAAGAATTTGGGTTACTTCCCGCGTTGGTCACTCCATGGATGGAAAATGGATCACTCGATGACTATCTGAAACGCGAATTTGTTGGTCTCTCGTGGGAGAGGAAGTTGAGTATGGTATACATTTTATATATGCGGAGACGCGTTCAACCCTGACTCGACATTGCAGGTAAGGGAAGTAGCAGTTGGTCTCGAGTATTGTGGGTAGCACTCGGCTCTACACTTTGATTGACTGATCTCCTGTAGTGCATAACAAGGATATTGTCCATGGTGACCTTACTGCTGTAGGTTTCATTCGCCGTATTCTACGCATAAATGACGGTTCCACATTTTAGACCAACGTCCTAGTTGGTAGTGATGGGAGGCTCTGTCTCGGAGATTTCGGTCTCTCGATGATCCTCGCAGAATCAGGCAACGCTACATTTAACTCGTGTCACCCGGGCAATGTTCGGTGGATGCCGCCGGAGGCACTTGAAAATGGGGATGAAGATGACGATGACGATAAGGCTAAACCAACCAAGGCCTGGGATGTTTACTCGTATGGTTGTATTATGATGCAGGTGCGTTGTGTGGTCTCATTCAAATGCTATGTTGCTGATATCATGCAGGTGTTTTCTGGCAATCAACCTTATGCCTGGATCCGGAGTGTTATACACATTATGGGAGCACTGCAAAGGGGGCGCAAACCGTTCTCCCAATTGGCTGGTATCAGCGAAGAAATACAGCAGATTGCGCAATTATGCTGGTCAAGGAGCAGAGAAGACCGTCCGTTGATTGGCCAAATTATGGAGTTCTTGTGGTCACACATAGACATTGTGAAGACTATAAAGACGATGCTGTCGCAACTTCCAGTCGCAGTGACACAAATATCGCAAGCAGTTCTCACGAAGTGCGACTATTCCAATGGTTTGGACGTACTTGGTGCGGCTTTGAAATGCAAGTGGGTGCATGAGTCGAGGGAGATTGAGGTTAGTGTATTTTTATGGACCTACAGATCTATAGTATGCAACGCATCAATCGACAGGTCGCAGTCAAGACTTTGAGGGATAATGTTAACGGTCACAACGACATGAACAAAATATCTAACGTGAGTAAGCACACAGTTCAGCATCACTGTACAGATAGATCACCACTAAATCATGTATTGCTCGGCAGAGGATTTGTCGCGAGGTGTGTGTCAGGAAAAGGTTGAGGCACAAGGCCATCCTTGTCCTCTATGGAATAACTGCCGGTTTTGGAATTATCCCGGGCCCATCCTTCGTATACCCATGGATGGCAGGCGGCTCGTTACGCGACTACCTGAAACAAGAGCACTCCGTTTTACCTGCGAGTCAAAAGCTGGATATTGTAAGTCATTTCAAAGTCCGTGGCATACTTAAATTCTTCGGCTCTGACCTCGAATGGGCAGCTACTAGAGGTGGCGCGTGGTATCGAATATTGTCAGTGTCCCTCATAGCTGCGCGTGCATAGAACTCACGCGCAAATTTAGTACACAAGCAGGATGTTGCACATGGCAATTTAACGGGTGTATGCTTCCATTACATGTGTTACGCAAAGATTCTCACCGCATCCCTAGGATAACATTTTCCTTGACGGTTCAGGCCGTGTGCGCATCGCAGACTTCAGTCACTCTGTAATACTGGCTGAAGCAGATAGTGACATGTTCAACGAGCAGCTCCCGGGAGATGCAAGGTACACTGCACCCGAATTTATGTTCACTGGTAGCCGGACAGGAATACCAAAGCCGACGAAAGAAGGAGATGTGTACTCATATGGCTGCGTCGTAATTCTGGTACGTTGTGCAGCTCATCAACTTTCGCTTTTTACACCGCTATTCCCTAGGTATTGTCGGGAAAGGTGCCGTACTGGTGGATTTCGAAAGAGAGTCAGGTGCTTTCAGAAAGAAAGAAAAAGGGTACATCGCCTTTTCATCCTACTGCTGAGGTATGATTCTTGCGATGTTTCTCTTACGCAGCCCTCAAAGGACTTTTGTATCAAAGATTGATGAAGCGCACCTGAACTTGCTGCAACAATGCCTGTCGGCGGTTAAATCCCGGCGTCCTTCAATTGAGAAGGTCCTCTACTTAGTTTTAGTCCAAAGTTTCGGGTGAGTTACTGACCCTTCTTTCATGTCGCTGTTAGGCTCATCATCTTCAGTGCTGCTGATCTGACAACCTCGGTCAAACGACTCAATAATGTTCACCAGAACGCCGGAGGATTTGCAAATGTTCATAGGTGTAGGCTCTCTCTGAGAGGCATCGATGCCGTCCAACTAGCGGTTTTCCGCTACCAGTCTTCTTCCAGGTCAACTTGTGTTGACGTAGGTATCCTGCCCGTCATTTCGTTCTGCCTTTCTTACAGTAATCTAGGTTGCAGTCAAGGAAATATTTTTGAGAGGCGATACAGACACGTTGACGATTATCAATGTCAGTAGCCATGGATTCCACTTTCATTCAGCTGACCTTAGTCCTTTAGCGTTTGTCCAGAGAGATTAAAATATGGTTGAAACTTAAGCACGAGAATATCGTTCCTCTCTGGGGAGTTGCAGATGGCTTTGGCTTCCTCCCAGCACTTCTCTCACCATGGTTAGAAAATGGTGCGCTGAGCGGTTACCTTGAACGTGAGCACGAAATGCTTTCTCACAACAAAAAGTTTGCACTGGTTCGGTCAATTTCTCATTCTACCATAGTCCGCATGCTGATGTCTCTTTAGCTCAAGGACATAGCTCAAGGGCTTCAGTATCGTATGTTCGATGTTTTGTCGTTGACGCAAGAGTCGACTAACGCAGATTGCAGTGCATTCGCGGTCAATCACCCATGGTGACTTGAGCGGCGTACGTACACATTTATGAGTCGTGTGAAAGCCCAACTGAAGCTTGTTTAGAACAACGTTCTCGTTGATAAAGATGGAAAAGCAAGCCTCACCGATTTTGGTCTTTCTGCTCTCGTTCCTGAGAGAATAAGTCAAGTAGCATTAAAGCCAACCTATTGCGGAGGCACCGCACACTACATGCCGCCAGAATACTTGGCGGTCGATGATGAAGGCAATGCGTCAGCGCCGGTATTCTCTCCGAAAAGTGATGTATACTCTTTCGGAGGGATCATGCTACAGGCACGTAACATGGATCATCAATATTGAATCAGCTCATATTTCTGCAGGTATTGGAGGGCAAGGTCCCATACCATTACATCCACAACCAGTTCGCCGTAATGAACAATATATCACGCGGAATAAAACCCAGAAGGCCACCCATATCTATTGTCATTGACAGCGACTGGAATTTCATGCAGACCTGTTGGTCAGGAGATATGGAGCGTCGGCCCTCTGACGAAGACATCCTGAAGTTTGTGGAAGGACGGACTAGAATTCAGTCCTAGTTAATGTTGCCTCTGCACTTGTTTTTTCTGTCGTGTGTAGATTAGGAATCATGGACGTCGCCTGGATACAATGTCTGAATTCCTGCAACATGGTCAGCCCGACGCCCGCGCATAACCGTTACACCAAAAGGTGAAATACTGAAAGCTTATGTTTCAGTATCAGCGACGGTATATGTACTGATTATGAGAACTCAGGTAAGCCAGCGTGCTTACAATTCCAGTGAAATACCAATCGATCGCTTCTACCACTTCTCGGTTTAATCAACCCACAACATTAGTATGGTACGTTTCCTGTACAAAGCAAAGCAAAGTCACATTGGTCAACAAAAGCTACTAAAAAAACATATAGCACAAGGTCCGTTAAATATCGTAGCACGCATTCGTCATCCAATGACTCTGAATCATAATCCAAGTCCTAATTGCCTAACGGTTTTGAATCATTCATTTCATCTTCATCAACAGATACCTCATCATCCGAAAAGTACTGATCCACAAATGCCATACGCAACGCCGTGCTCGGGCTGAACAACGTAAACTTCGACTTCCCCAAGTGGACCTTAACCACCGAGAACATATATCCTTTCGGTGGCGAGTCGCTTCGTTGGAGAATCTCGTCAGCGATCTCTGGCCATATGGGGTCATCCCCAGGAAACTGCTCAAGCTTGTGCACGGGGAGCACGTGGACCTCCGGCGGATACACAGTCATGTCTAGCATGAGCACAAGTTTATCTCTGAATGCAGGGAACTGCTGCTGTGCTTCACGAACGCGTGATTCTACATCTTTGGCCATTCCCGTGATTTCACTAGTTTCGAAGCCTGCAATGACTTGAAGACTCTTACGGATATCGCGTGAGCCCCACGGCCCTGTTGGCGATTCGAACGAGAAGTATGAGACGAGGACTGGAGGGACTCACCAACGGTGCACCTTAGAACTTGACACCACTTCTTGTGTCCATTGTGCCAAGCGGTCCTTTGGCATTTCTCCGAGCAATAGATAGATACCAAGCAGCCTGCGCACCGACACTTTTTGCTGGCAAACTTGGATGTGCACATTGGACACTGGCGCACATGTGAGCACCCACATGATGGAACTAGTGATGATTAGCGTACTCCTGGACCACTGCACCTGTATTCGTGGAAGTTTATAGGTTCTACACTGCGATGGTCCATAGCATCGATAGTAGATGTCAGGACGAGTTCGAGAGCAACCCCCAACCCTTTGTCGCGTATCTCTCGCTTTTCCATAGGAGCACTTTGCATGCGAAACCAGTGTCGGAAAATTGATTCAACGACCCTGTGATACATGAAGAATGTGGCGAGGAGAAAGAGTAACTCTATGTCACCCAAGCGGCCACGGGTTGGGTGATCGCGACGATTGGCGTGAGGCGGGCAAACAACCCCCTTCTCCAACGTTTGAATGAGGCCAGCATCGATTGCCTGGCATACACATGCCACCCCGTCATCTGCATCGCGAATAGCAGATGCAATGTACGCGTACCCTGACCACAGAACGTTCTGCCTACCCGCGAGTCCCAGCTGGGGATGAAAATCTAATTCTTTGTTTGCTTGCACCAAGATCTTGGGCAATATCTGAGCGATCGCATCCACCACCGTGCGAATTGAACCTTGGCGGATAAGTTGTGCGCGGCATGAAACGTCTTGGCGACTGATAACCTTGATAAACTCAAAGGAATAATGGAGACTAACAGTATAGAGATGAAGTTGTTTTATGCTCCGATCGCCTGTCGTCCACGATCGAGGTTCTTCTACAGCAGCAGCATCTCTGGTAATCCGACGGATGTATCTGAGAAGAGTGAAAACAACGGGCTTCACCCCTCCGGCAGCTTGTATATAACTCGATAACGGAAGAGTGATTTTGTCTGGATCTTCAGATTCAGATACGCAAACATGGTTTGTTAGCGCAAAGGACGCCCGGAGCATGGAAACAAGGCCGTCCGTTGTATTTCCAGGATCTCCTTGTAGTACATCTCCCTGAAGGTTTCCGATCAATATCCATAACTGCGCAACAAAGTGCTGCACAGAAATAGAAGAACGGAGCAAATGACGCCCTTCTTCCGATTGGGTGCAGATTAATGAGAGCGGAGTGATGCACAATTTTGCGGCATCAAACACATTGCAAAGATCAGGGCGCGGAGGAGTAACTGAGACATCGTAAGGAGGAGGGAGGCAATTTCTAGCGAAGAACCGCATCCACGGGTATACTTCGTCCCACTTCCTCACAATATACTTTGTCACGGGATCGTCCTCGCCCTCAGAAGTTGAAGGGGTAACCGTGGAGATTTTCACTAATCCCATGAGAGACCACTTTGCACGCATGATGGCAGGAATAGTCTTGGGATTGATGTAGTTTGGTACTTGAATTGAATCAAGCGTCGCGTGGAAGATGGGTGCCAAGCAACAATAACGGGAGGTATTAAGCATCGAAATATAATCAACCAGCCTTCCCAGATCTGCGGTGGATCCCTGTAGAGCCCTCTTTGCAGTGATCTTGAATGCATATTAGTCATGGAACGAATTGGTATGATAAGGGATCCAACTTGTGTTGCCACCGGCAGAGACTTCAACGCTTGTGTTTCGCCTGCACTGATCCGCAAACTTGATCCCACTGCAGCAAAGGACATGATGGATGGGTAGTACGGAATCTGATGGGTTTTAGTGAGGGACAGTTGGAAATTGATCGATATTTAGTATATAAGTCGAGCTTTGGGACAGTTATCATGCCATGGTCAACACCCCAATTACAAAAGCCTCATGTCTGTGTTCTGATGAGTGCACGTAATATCCATCGAGTGGCCTTACTGAAGCAAGCCGTTTCTTGAGCCATTAAAAACAAAAAGACGAGCTGCAGTATATCCGTACGTAGCTTGTAGATGGCTGGATATCATTATTGTCGTGGTGGTCATTCAGTGCGCTTGGTGACAGAGGAAGTTGAAGTATTATGTAATACTTAACTTGTCTTCTGAAACTTATCTGTTGGGAGCGTGCATGTATTGCACGTAATAAGAAACATCCATTCTTCCAAATCCAAGCAATCAAATCACCATATCAACACTTCAAATGAAACTCTAAACATGATTCTGCTCGACGAGCTCCACATTCATCAGGTACTCAGGGTGTCTCAACTGCTTGGGCCAGCTGAAGCGTGTACACGTTCCTGGAAAGTAATTGTACTCATGGCAATTCCTGCGTCAGTTAGCATGATACTCTCGAACGTCAAGGAAGAGGCATGGTTCCAATACAACTCACCGTGGTTACTTAGCAAATGTGCAACTTACGTCCTCTAGCAATGTCATCCACATTTGACATGGGTCTGATGGTCTGAACTTGAATGCCATAGCATTAAATTAAGAAGGAATGGCTGTCGTCCTTCTTGAATAGTAGTGTGGCTATGGGAGACTGACTATCATAAGCAGTACTTGACTAGCTATAACAACACATGCTGAAGGCCTACTCGGAGAAGCAGCGGACTTCGAAACAAACAAATGAGTGTGACACCGTACCTCCAAGTCGACCAATCCATTCCAGTTATTGCGATCGTACTTTCGAGCAACTTTTGAAGTGATGGTGAGCATACTCTACTATTTTCCAGCGATACACTAGCCTCATACTGGACACAGGACGGATCGATCAGTCAGGAAAGTGCCATGTCCGCTTTTTCGACTGCCATCATCGCGCGTAGTTGCTATCTGTTATTGGATTCAGGCCCAAAACCCTGCGCACCAGCCACTGACCTCCCTACTGAGATTCTGTTGAGAATCTTCCACCTGGTATACACGGAGAACAGATCCCTACAGCTGGAATCATTCCACTCCGAACACGTGTGCGAAGACTGGACACACGAGGAGCCCCTCTCCCCTGCATTGTTTCCTTTTGCTATCGCTGCAGTTTGTTCTCGTTGGTGTGATGTTGCGGCGACTGTTCCCGAGTTTTGGACTCGGATGACAGTTATGGTGGACAAAAATCCTACCGATATCTCTGCCATCCGAGCATGCCTGCGGTGGTCACGTTCGCTTCCGCTTGATATCACAGTCACGCGCAGCATCATTGATCACAACACTCCTGATGAGGTCGAGTGTCAGCACGCCCAGAATGTCAGGGCGTTGCTACGGCCTCACTTGGATCACATCCGTCGTCTACACATCTCAGTGTTGCACAGCACCACACTTCCTTTCTTGTTCACCGACCTGGATGGACCTGCGAAATTGTTGCAGAGACTTAAGCTGGCGAGCGCTATCGACGATGGAGGTTCCACACAAATACACCCTTCCCGTGGACCCCTCGTTACACCAGTCTTAGATACACTTGACATCAGCGGTCGCTGCCTCCAGGATGGCTCACTGAAAAGACCAGCCCAAACCGCTCTCATGTCAAAAATCACATCTGTTAACATTTCACGTTACCATCCTTCCAGTGCAAACGTAGAGGGGCTCTCCTTGTGGCAGACGCTCTGAACCCTCAGCCAGCTTCCCATACTCGATGATCTCACTCTCTGTGATGTTCACTTTGATACAAACCAAAAAAAATTAGCAGGGTCTACATTTTCACTCAGCCGTTTACAAACTCTCGCGTTCGAGAAACTGGATAACAGCCATGTTCTCAAGGTTGTTTTTGCAGTCCTCATCGGAGTTCGTCTCTCGTCCACGATAATCACAGACTGTAAAGTCAACACTCTTGGTCGCATCGGCTTTACCGACTACCTCACGTTCGAGAACATGGACATACCCAAAAATTTCATCAACATGCTCCACCATTGGAATGGGAGCAGTCTCACCCTTGACAACTGTGATGGTGTTGATGATAGGTTTTTTGACGTCATGAGTAGGCCTTTCAAGAGCACCTCTGAGGAAGAATGTTATATCGTGCCCAGGATGATGAAGTTGCGATTGCTGAATTGTGATCGCTTCACTGCTCCAGCGTTGAAGAGATTCATCCAAGCACGGATACGTGCTGCGAGTGCTCTGCAATGGGGTTTCCTGAATCCGCTGGCAACCGAGTCTGATGAAGAAGATATGCTCATGATGAACACGAAGGCAATAGGCTGGCTGGATGTCAGAGGTCGTGGGCCTGTAATCACGAAGGCAGATGCAGTGTGGTTATCGGAACACGTCGGCATGTTTAGCTGGGACGCTTTGCAGCCAGATGGGAAGAGGTATGTGGTGGAGTATGATTTGAAAAAGGTGGTGGTCAAGTAGCATTTCTCTGGGTTATGCTAGCAGTTGGAATGTTTTCTTTTGCCATCGTTCTTGATATTTCGCCTTTGTTAGCTGCACACTCGAATGTTTTTGCATATTACACAGACACGGTGAGATTCTGTATCATCCAGGGTCTGCTGGACTCTACAAAGTTATCAAAATCTATTATTCTCTGAACCACAAACCTATTGAACACCTCTGGATCCTCCCAAACCTGACCAACTCTTACTGGACCAAACCGTGGTTCGGTTCAAGGTTCAGAATCGGATTGCGGCAATCTTAGGTACTTGGGTGTGAACAACCTGTCACTCTTTCGGTCTATGTGGTCAATACGATTCGAGCATTTGCTGAACAGAAATTGCTAGCGGTCAGCCACTGAAGTCACTTAGATGTGACTACCTTACTGAATCCTACTGAATCCCGTTGGATTCCTAGTACTCAACGTTACCCCAAACATACTTTTCTGAGGCAATCAAGAATGGCGAATACCCGGTGAGCGTTCTCATCATGAAGTTCAACTATCAATACTGTTATATTGACCAAGGTCCAAACTTTCTTGCAAACTTCTCGGTTTGTTGGTGTATTTGAAATCATCTCATACCACCCCTAGTAGTTCAAGCCCTCGAATCAATGCACTACTCAAGATGACTAATCAGTCGATGGGGATAAGTTACTCTTCTGAACTCAATGTCTTACTTCGAAGTCCGAGAAGTTGTGGTAACTTGTGATTACTCGTGCAAAGTTAGGACCCAGGGAACTGATCATGAAGAACCTCGGACAATCACAAACGGATAAGCCGGCGTCTGTATCTCATGATCATTGGCCTAGGCCTTTACCACAGTGAAGGGATGATTTGGCTTTTTTTAACATATCTTGCTTGTAAATCTCTGGAGTTTTTACCTTCTGTCAAAGTTTGATTTGGGGAAGACCTGTGCCATACTTTTCCAAACTTGTGTTCGCCCCTGGGCCTAGGCCTGAAGGCCAGAGTGATTTTCCCTCCACCACAGGGTGATAAAAAATGTGGGTGTCACAATCCTGGGCGCTAAATATATTCTATTGAGGCATAAGTACTCGCGCTTGTTTCTGTGACTCATCAATAGTGCTTGCGACGAAAGAACAAAAAGCTTGGATGAAAGACAACAGCACAATGATTCATGCTAAAGTCATCATATTCCTTGCAGTAACCTAGTACATAGCATCAACCAGTTACACCATAGTCGGGCGTATGAATCCTCCGTGATGATGCGAAGATTAGGTATCCAGCACACCGTAAGCTCAGTCGAACGTGATGCAAGTCGCATGTCCCCCTTTGTGCATATAGACAAAAGCTGCCAGAATTCCAATCCTCTAAAAATAGTCTACACAAGTCCATGCACATTGTGATCACATGAGCAAAGTTCGTCCACAGTGAGCACGATGAGATGCCCTCTTGGCACAATAACGTGGGTGCGTGAACGGTTCAACCACGAATGTGTAGTCTGCTTATTGGTGGTAATTTTAAGTGACATGCCCCTTGCAACTGCAGGGTTGTTGCACCGGGAGTACAATGGATCAGGACCTCGCTCTTTGATGCAAAAGGGTGAAAGACACAACAAAAGCGGGTGAGGAATGGTAATGAAGGGTCAAGAATCTTCAATAAGCGTGTTACGAACGTTGTTGTGGAGGTTATGCGGTAATCAGTAAGGTTGATGAGATGCTGGGAACTTGTTAAAAATGTGTACTGCATGCGACTGGCACCAGTGGACATGGAATGGGGTAAAACGTCAGCACATCAACTTGGTGGCATTGTGGCTCAACATCAGATTTGACAAGTTAAAAAAAATCGCAATGAGCTGCGATGCAACATTGGAGGATATCCGCAAGGCTGTGCGCTAATGCACACGAACATTATATGAGAGAATCCATCGAATCAGCGAACTCAGCGAGTAAGAAAAAAGTCAAACAACGGACCTGGATGGCAAGCTGGAGTCGCTAATTCATAGCCCGGATCCTAACTCGGAATTGCAGACCCATGGCTGATTTCGAAAAGGCCCATCGATGATAGCAGAGTTAGAACAATTTGCAAATTTGCAAGTGTACATACGATATTTAAAAAGAAGCCTCGCAACTATCCAACCTCCATGAGAAAATCATCACACAGCTCCGAGAAAATAGGGCTGCACAACTAGTGGTGCGTCTGCTATGACCGTGTGGAAACATTTCAGGGCAACACCGTTCTTTATCTTGCACTGGTAGAAGGCGCAACTTCATTCCCAATGAACATGAAACATAAAAATGGGATTAGTGCATCTTATGTTACTGGTCCAGGCCCTCTGTTAGACTGAAATTATGTAAAGGAAAGGGCACCATAGCGGCCTTGCAGGTCCAGGGAATGACATTTGGATTTCTATTTTTTCCGTGTTTGCTTGAGGGAGTGTTTGTTGTATTGCATAGTGAGCCCATTGCCAACATATGTAGCTCGTCGTAAAATTTATGTTAAGGCAAGGTACTCGCATTTGCCTGACTCGAAAAGACCCACCAATGATAGTAGAGTTAGAACAGTTGATCACACAGAAATCTGCACATAGCGTACACACCTGCAGCGTAGATCTCGAATCTCCTGAAAAAAAATTGCAGGGAGCCGGAGTTCACATGTCACCGGGCGGATGATTGTCTAGAGAGTTATTCAGAAAAGCATGCGGTGTTATGTTCCCATGTACCTGGAATGTAACGAGCAAGGTACCTGTAAGAATATCAGCTTCATGTATGTGTTTAGCGTCTGGTGAAGTAGTATAAAACCTACAGTGAAACGTACAGTGTACACGCCACTTCTGCTACATCCAGAATCATTCTAGCACCAAGTTCACTCACCAGTGTTCAACACCAACAACCTCTTGTAAAATGGCACAGCTCATTCCTATCGTCAACCCCACTTGGGTGTTTGAAGATCGCACACAGACGATCTACGCAGCTGCAGATATTCCCAATAGCGAGCTGATGGTGACCTCTTCTGAGGACAGGAAGGTCCGTCTTTGGGACTTGAAGACAGGTCAAGTATTGAAGCAGTTGGCGGGGCACACCGGTGATGTGATGGGATTGGCGGTATCAAGAGATGGGGAATTGATAGCGACTGGTGACGAGAACGGCGAACTCATCGCCTGGCAGGCGAAAACTGGGGAGTCTCTCGCCAAAGTTTCCAAAGCCCACAGCAGTGCGGTCCGTTCCCTGGACTTTTCACCCGATGGTGCATTCGTCATTACCGCGTCAACGGCACGCAACGACCAAACAGTCAAGGTTTGGAACACCCACAATTGGGAGTCAGAAGGATATTTCGCCTGCGGTAATACTGTCCGCTGCGTTCGGTATGCGCGGTCCAGCGTACATACGTTTGCAGTGGCAACAGATCAAGACATCCAAATTTACACCGACGGCAAACTCCAAATGACGTTGAATCACAGTCGCGGTACTCGATCACTCGCCTGGTCTCCTGATGCCAAGCGCCTTCTTTCGGGAGGAGATGATGGAGATTCCAATATAAGGGAGTGGGATACATCGAGCTGGACGCAGGTCGGTGAACCATGGACGGGTCACATGTACAAAATCAACACCATCGCCGTTCATTCTGCTGGCATGCATGCAGTTTCCGCCTCTAGCGACAACTCTGTTTGTCTCTGGCAGCTCTCCGATAAACAAACCGTTGCCATCTTCCAGCACACTTCTTCTGTCATTTGCGCAGCCTTCTCCGCGTATGGCGCACACATCCTTAGTGGAGGTCATGATAAGAAAGTCTCGGTATGGGCAGCACCCGTGGGTACTTTGCCAGTACTAGAAACTCCCGACTTTTACTTGAAGGAAGTCGTGACAATGGTAATTTCTCGCTGATTAGTAAACCTTCACCATCTCATTTACGTCTTTTGATCAAAAAGGTTCCAGGCTCTGAATATGTAGTTCAAGAGTCTACTGTCACTCAAGGAAGCCCCACTTCCACCTCTCAATTGCAGCAATTGTCTTCGACAACTTTCCAGTTGCAGCCACTTTCAATTGTCGTACCGCCTCTCCCCACGGTCGAGATTACCAAGGTCCAACAGTCTCTTGAGAACGGGCAGTTATCTGAATCTGTCCGCACTGAACAATCTCAAATTTCCCATGCCGAACAGTCTCTTTTCAACTCCCAGCAATCTCTGTCCAGTGCAGCAACATCTGTTACAGGGTCTGGACAGTCTGTTCTAAGTGGCGGGCAGGTATGATTTCATCCTTTGCTTCTATGGCATCATTCAAAGCCTTTTTTTCACGCAGACACTCGTAGTATCTGAGTCAGTGACTGCAAGCTCGGAATCCAGTTCTCAGCAGTCAGTTTCGACGACTGCAAGCTCGGAATCCAGTTCTCAGCAATCGTCTTTGACGACTGTCCGCTCGCAGTCCGTTTTGCAAGCCGAACCGCCTATCACCGAACAATATCAAATTTCCAAGGTCGATCAGCCTCTGTCTAGTGCAGCAACATATGTTACAGGGTCTGGACAGTCTGTTCTAAGTGGCGGACAGGTATGATTCCATCCTTTGCTTGTATTGCGTTATTCAAAGCTTCTTCATTTTTCACGCAGACACTCGTAGTATCTGAGTCGGTGACTCGAAGTCCCTATTCCACATCTGTGCAGCCTGTTTTGACGACTGCAGACTCCAATCTCAGGCTTCAGCAGTCAGTTTTGACGACCGCAAGCTCTGAATCCAGTTCTCAGCAACCGACTTTGACGACTGTCCGCTCGCAGGCCGAAACGCCTATCACCACGGTTGAACAGACTATTTTACGGGCTGGGCAGCCTGTTTCAAAGGTTGAACAATATCAAATTTCTAAGGCCGATCAGTCTCTGTCTAGTGCAGCAACTGTTACAGGGTCTGAACAGTCTGTTCTAAGTGCCAGCGGACAGGTATGATGTCATCCCTTACTTGTACAGCGTCACTCAAAGCTTTTTCACACAGACACTTGTAACATCTAATCCAGTGACCGGAGGCATCTATTCCAAGTCTCTGCAGCCTGTTTTGACGACTGGAACCTTTGATCCCAACCTTCAGCAGTCAGTTTTGACGACCGCAAGCTCCGATCCCAGGTCTCAGCAATCGTCTGTGACGACTGTCCAGTTGCAGCCTGTTTTGCAGGCCGAACAGCCTATCACCATGGTTGAACAATATCAAATTTCCAAGGTCGATCAGCCTCTGTCCAGTGCAGCAACATATGCTACAACTGAACAGTCTGTTCTAAGTGGCGGACAGGTATGATTTCATCCCTTACTTGCACAGCGTCACTCAAAGCTTTTTCATGCAGACACTTATGACATCTAATCCGGTGACTGGAGGCATCTATTCCAAGTCTCTGCAGCCTGTTTTGATGACTGGAAGCTTGGATCCCAGCCTCCAGCAGTCAGTTTTGACGACCTCAAGCTCCGATCCCAGGTCTCAGCAATTGTCTTTGACAACTGTCCACTCGCAGCCTGTTCTGGAGGCCGAGCAGCCTATCATCAAGGTCGACCAGTCTGCCTTCAAGGAGGAATACATGTCCAACAAGGTAGATGTTTCCAAGATGGAGCGGGTTGTTTTAAGGGTATGATTTCATTCTTTACTTGTAAGGTGTCGCTCGAGCTTTTTTACCCAGAAAACATTTGACATCGCCACGGCTGAGTTCCTTGCTATCACCAAGACCACCTGTGCTGCATCAATCGCAGGGTATTTGGCTACCGCTGAAAGGATCCTCACTCAAGAGATTGCTGCTGACACCAAGAACTTTGCCTCCTATGCCAACCGCTCTTTCATTCTGTCATGCAAACTCAACTGGGACAATGCACTTCGGGATGCAACCAGGGTAACAACGAGTCATCATGCCCTAACTAAAACCTGCTGACTTCGATATTCTCATAGTCCCTTGTCATAAGGACATCATTGGCCGGTTATATCGCCAAGGGTATCGCTCTCTGCGGAAAGCAGCGCCTCAATGACGCAAGGACAGCCTTTGACTTGGGATTCACGTTTACTCAGGGAAACACAGATGCTACTGTCTTCCTTTACTTGATCAAGGCACGTTGTTTGTTCGTCTTGCATACTCTGTGCCTCATCATATTCCAGGCTATTGCGCTCTTCAATGCCAATAGACACGACGAGGCCATGCTTTGTGTGAATCAGCTGGCTTCTACCGATTCCATTGCTTGTAGTGTCTTTATGGTAAGTCTCCTGTTCGCAATCACGCTTGTGCTCATCCGCTGACTGATGGATCTGTGCTTCGCGCATCAGGCGAGTCTGCGACTCCAACTAGGAATTATTGCCTTCAATGGTGCACGTCATGATGAGGTGGTCGAGCACTTCAGTGTCGCTGTCAAGGGTAGCACTTTCTTGGCTAAATCCCTCATTCGAGCCCCTTCAGTGACAAATTCCGTATTATACGGGCCACCCGACCTACATAATATCCCGTATGAGACGGGCCAGCGGATTATGGGCCCATGTTGTGTATATTCTCGATGATGACAGATGGGCCGGGACACATATTATTTCCAATGGAGACGGGTGGGCCCATGTATGCCAATGATATATATATCCTTGATGTTGACGGATGGGCCGGGGGAATATGATCATTCATGGAGATGGGTGGGCCCATCAGGGTAATATGTAGAGTAGGATATTATAGACAGCTGGGCTGAAGAGAGATGTAAGGCAAATATTGTTATATAGACGGGCGGGCCGACGGGGGTGTATTACATATATGGGTGGGCTGAGGTAGGGGAATATTACATAGATGGGTGGGCTGACGCGGGGTGTATTACATATACAGGTGGGCCGACATAAAAAGTATTACATATACGGGTGGGCCGACGAAAGGGATATCAAATAGACGGGTGGGCCGAGGGTGTGATAAAATATTTATTACATAGACAGGTGGGCCGAGGTGGGGTATAATTATATAGACGGGTGGGCCAACATAGGATGTATTACATAGACGGGTGGGCCGACGTGGGGGATAATACATAGATGGGTGGGCTGATGTGGGGGAATTGTACATAGATGGGTACATATATGGGTGAGCCTAGATATGTATAAATGTCAAATTTTCAGTGCAAAACCCCAAACCGAGATTTACCAACCCCCGAACCCCGAAATTGTGGACTGCCGGGTCTCGGGTTTCGGGGTTCGGGGGTCCCAGAACTCGGAACTCAGTATGTGAGACAACAAAAATATATTTCAAACACGGGTAAGTCAATGTGTTTGTCAATCAACTTGATTGTAAATTATATTTTATTGATCTCCCCAAATTTCCCAAGTTCTGAGTTCCGAGCTCCGGGACCCCCGAACCCCGAAACCCGGCAGTCCACAATTTCGGGGTTCGGGAGTTGGTAAAATGTGTATGGATAGATGAAAGGTTGATTTAAACATTTTTGAAAGATGTCCCATATGAAATGTTAAGTCCCGAGTTTTGAACTCCGGGTTTCGGGACTCCGGGTTTCGGGACTTCGGGCTTCAGGACTCGGCACTCCAGAAACCCGGAAATCGAAACTTGGGACTTGACATTTCATATGGGATATCTTTCAAAAATGTTTAAATTAACCTTTCATCTATCCATACACATTTTACCAACTCCCGAACCCCGAAATTGTGGACTGCCGGGTGTCGGGTTTTGGGGTTCAGGGGTCCCGGAGCTCGGAACTCGGAACTTGGGAAATTTGGGGAGATCAATAAAATATAATTTACAATCAAGTTGATTGACAAACACATTGACTTACCCGTGTTTGAAATATATTTTTGTTGTCTCACATACCGAGTTCCGAGTTCCGGGACCCCCGAACCCCGAAACCCGGGACCCGGCAGTCCACAATTTCAGGGTTCGGGGGTTGGTAAAATGTTTATGGATATATGAAAGGTTGATTCAAACATGTTTGAAAGATGTCTTTCATCTCAAAAATCGAGTCCCGAGTTCCGGGTAAGACATCTTTCAAACATGTTTGAATCAACCTTTTGTATATCCATAGACATTTTACCACCCCCAAACCCCGAAATTGTGGACTGCCGGGTCTCGGGTTTCGGGGTTTGGGGGTCCCGGAACTCGGGACTCAATATGTGAGACAACACAGATATCTTTCAAAAGTTTGTAAATCAAATTTATTGTAGATCAAATTTTATTGATCTCCCCAAATTTCCCAAGTCCTGAGCGCCGACCCCCGACCCCCGAGACCCGGCAGTCCACAATTTCGGGGTTCGGGGGTCCCGGAACTCGGGACTCAATATGTGAGACAACACAGATATCTTTCAAAAGTTTGTAAATCAATTTGTTTGTAAATCAAATTTATTGTAGATCACCCCCGAACCCCGAAATTGTGGACTGCCGGGTCTCGGGGTTCGGGGTTCGGGGGTCCCGGAACTCAGGACTCGATATGTGAGACGACATATCTTTCAAAAGTTTGTAAATCAATTTGTTTGTAAATCAAATTTATTGTAGATCAAATTTTATTGATCTCCCCAAATTTCCCAAGTCCCGAGCACCGACCCCCAACCCCCGAGACCCGGCAGTCCACAATTTCGGGGTTCGGGAGTTGGTAAAATGTTTATGGATATATGAAAGGTTGATTCAAACATGTTTGAAAAATGTCTTTCATCTCAAAAATCGAGTCCCGAGTTCCAAATTAGTGCCGAAGCTTGAAACTTGAAATCAGTGGAAAATGAAATCTCGCAACAATGTACACATGAAGATGTTTTATTTCCTTTGACAATTCACCGAGTGTCTTGTACTAACCTGACAACACAGTCCCGGCTTCAGGCTTCAGGGCTCGGTACACGACACTCGGGGAATTGTGAAATTTCTATTTCCTTGGACATTTCACTGAGTTCCGAGGTCCGGGCGCCGAATTCCGAGTTCCGAGCGCCGAGTTCCGAGCTCCGAGTGCCGAGTGCCGAAGCTCAAAACTTGAAATCAGTGGAAAACGAAATCTTGCAACAATGTACACATGAAAATGTTTTATTTCCTTTGACAATTCACTGAGTGTCTTGTACTAACTCAGGGAATTGTGAAATTTCTATTTCCTTAGACATTTCACTGAGTTCTGAGTTCCGAGCGCCGAGTTCCGAGTTCCGAGTGCCGGATGCTGAGTGCTGAAGCTTGGAACTTGAAATCAGTGGAAAACAAAATCTCGTGACAATGTACACATGAAAATGTTTCATTTCCTTTGACAATTCACCGAGTGTCTTGTACTAACCTGACAACACAGTCCGGGCTTCAGGCTTTGGGTTTCGGGGCTCGGTACATGACACTCGGGGAATTGTTTATGGAAATGAAACATGTTCATGTGTACATTGTTGCGAGATTTCATTTTCCACCGATTTCAAGTTTCAAGCTTCGGCACTCAGCCACTGGTCGGTAGTCAATATAGGCAAATGGTAATGAAAAATGAAAGTTGTTATTACGCTTAACTTCCTTACCGAAGGTTGTAGTCCGAGTCTAGGGGAGTGTATTGGTAGTCTTTTCTTGTCCATCAGTTATCATTTAACCGAGATATAAGCTAAAGAAATCTGAAACATCGGCAATAATGAAAAATGAAAGTTATTATTATGTTTAAGTTCCTGAACAAAAGTTGTAGTCCGAGCCAAGGTGAGTGTATTGGTAGTTTTTTCTTGTCAATTGGTTATCTCGTTACTCAGTACTCGGTACAAGGGAATCAGTACTTGGTATTTGGTTCTGATACTTGATACCCGAGAATCAGTAGTGGGGTACTCGGTACTCGGTTCTGATACTTGGTACCCGAGAATCAGTAGTCAGGTACTCAGTACTTGGTTCTAATTCTCGGTACCTGTGAATCAATAGTTGGGTACTCCAGCCAATAGTCCCGAGTCCCGAGTACTGATACTTGGTATTCAGTAGTCAGGTTTGGAACTTGGGTCTTGGTTTGGTTATCATTTGACTGAGATATTGGTAGGCAATATTGGCACTCGGAGCTCGAATACTGACTATCAACTATCAAGTGTCGGGACTTGGTAATCGGTAGTTGAGACTTGGTGCTTGAATGGATATTGCATATATACATAAAAATACAAAATATGTTCCTATGTGTTCATTTCTAGGTGAATAGTATCTCAATCATCTATTCAACAATAGAAACAATGTATCAGGAGCTCAGGACCATAGGGTAATCCTTTATTGTATAGTGTACCTCCCCCTCTTCTGGTGGTTCACCTGCTGGGGTTTTTTCCCTGTAGGACTGGACCTCAAGGACTGTAGGGAGTCTATTCCTGAGCATATTCGGAGTAGATATATCATATAACCAGCCCAGGACACACAGGATCCTTTTCCAGGAACAAAGCATAGACAATTGCACTTGTGATATTTTTTCACGATTTTCAGTATCTTGCCCTTGCATCCATGATCCAACCTTTTAATATATAATGAGCATAGCTTATATTCTTGCTTCTTATGACCAAGATCAGCTCACAATAGGCTGGAGTTTGTGAGCTAGTGTGTATACTTGCCATTTCGCCTGATAAGGGGCCCATGCCTTCAAAACATTGAATCTTCATAATCAGAAACCTGGGGTACATTTCAAATATCTTAAGTATCATAGACATAAATTTACAGACAAATCAACCAAGAATTGAGTACTGAGGAAGTGAAATGGGTAAGAAATTGAGTGTGGGAAACTTCAAAGACCCAAAGCATCGAAAATGGTTAGTTGAGCAGTGGTAGGACTTTAATGCTGGGTCAACTCATATTTTCACTATATCCCTTCTACCCACCCCCTACCCTCAGGGCAGTAGGCAGTATGGGTTCCTTGGGTAGTTTACGATCTATCCTACATATTTGTAATGATATTTTTGGCCTGAATCATATATAAATGTGACTTTGTATAAAAGATGTCTATTGTCACTCTCCACACATATGTCATTTTGCCTATCATTACATCAATCCTTCATGAATCTTTCTAAGCTTTTAAGCTATTATAATGGATGTATATGGGTGTTATTCCAGGTCTCTGATCACATCACAGGCTTGTTATGTTGGATATCTCGACATAATGTGCAAGTCTCGCTATTAATATTCATTCTTTTATCTTTAGACTCACTTACTGCACACATGTATTTCATTTGTCATTATTGATGTTTCGGATTTCTTTAGCTTATATCTCGGTCACATGGTAACCAATGGACGAGAAAAGACTACAAATAAACTCACCTAGACTCGGACTACAACCTTCATTAAGCTGACTACTGATTCCCAGGTACCGAGTATCAAAACCAAATACTGAGTACCAATTACCATGTACCGAGTACTGCGTAATGAGTAACAAGATAACCAATTGACAAGAAAAGACTATCACTACACTCACCTGGACTTGGACTACAACCTTCGGTAAGGAAGTTAAGCATAATAACAACTTTCATTTTTTCATTATTGCTGATGTTTTGCCGAATGACAAGGAAAGACTACCAAGACACTCACCTTGACGTGGACTACAACTGTCATTTTTCATTATCATTTGCCTATATTGACTACTGAGTCTCGAGTACCGACCACTGACCACCAATCACTGAGTACCGAGTACCGAGTGCTGACAAATACAATTCCCAAGTTATTTGAACCCTACACCAATGGATAATACATACAAATACAATTTGTGTCCATTTGAAGTACCGGGTTTCAGGTTTCGACACTCGACACTTGGTGATTTGTGCAATGAGTGAAAAATGGACATGTTGTGTACATGATTTTGGGTTTCAGGCTTCGGGTTTCGGCCCTCGGCACTCGGAACTCGATGATCTGTGTAATGTAAATGAACAATGAACATGTTGCACACCAGGTTTCGAGTTTTGGGTTTCAGCACTTGAAACTCAGTGATTTGTGCAACAAGTGAAAAATGGA